GACTGCCACAGCAGAGGAAAAGTTCTAGAGACCAACTTTCTCCCTGCCACCCAAGACATCATCTCTGGACATAACCAGGATGTGTGTGGTGTTATGGTGGTCTGTCTCATCATGGTCTTTCCTCATTCCTAGATGAGCTTGCCCTAAGACAAAGATTTAAAAGGCTAGGTTTCTGTAGTTAAGTGAAAATAATCCTCTGTTAGCCTTGCAAGATTTCAAAAAATAGCCTTATTTTGCTTCAGTTCAAGCAAATCATTCTATTGTGAAGAAGCTTGGCAAGATTTGTGTCTCCTGACTCAAACTTTGGTTAGTACTGCCCAGAGGAGGGGCTGAGCAGTTTACAGTAGTCACCTTTGCTCTCCTTATGAGAGCTGCCCAGATGGTCTCTCTAGCAAGTGCAGAAGTCTTTGGTCTGTAGGATAGCTAAGAAACAAAACAGTTACTCCCTTTCCACCTTCAGGATCCAGGAATCTGATAGGAGATAAAATGGTGAGTCACTTTTCAGCCCAGGAGTCCTCCCAGACCTTCTCTTCTGACTCTTTTTCTGATCTACCTCATCTCATCTTCAAAATTCTATTTTTTTCTAAATATGTCATTTGCAGCTACTCTACACCCTACCCTGCTCTCTTTCTCATCCCTTGAAATCTTTAATTAGCTTAAAGGTTAATTGTTATTAATAAAAACAAACAATTTTGTGACTCCACAAGATTGCAGACTTCCTGGTTTTCTTACTCCTTCTTGCCTCTTTTGCTTACTTTTCCTCTCCCATCCCATATCTGTGTACCTATTTCTACATACATCTCTTTTTCCTTGACTGTTTTTGTTTTGGATTTGTATACATGTCTGTCTTTTTCATTTTTTCTTTACTCTCCCTAAATAGATGGAGTAAAGCCTGAGAATTATGCTGAGCTGCAAAAAGATTGTGTTAAAAATGAACCAATAAAGCTGAGTGCAGTGGCACCCAGCTACTTAGGTGTTTGAGACTGAAGGATCAGTTGAGCGCAGGAGTTCAAGAGACCAGGCTGGCCAACAAAATGAGACCCCGTGTCCAAAATAAAGGGCAGGGGAGGAGTTGAAGTTGTAGCTCAGTGGTGGTAGAGTGTGTGCTTAACATGCATGGAGACTCTGGGTTCAATCCCCAGCTCCAAAAAAGCAATTAGTATTAGAAAAATAATTTTAGGTTTGAAGACCTAAGAAGGGCTTAGAATGGAAATCAGATGATACAGGCAGTGGTAATGCAAATGCTGACGTTTTGCATGCCATTTTGGTCAATTATATAGTATTTAGCAACCAGCATTTTCTTCACTTTAAGATTTTTTTTGAATTCTAAACAAATAAACAAAAATAAACAATAGCAACAAAACCCACAGTTGACTCAAAGCAAGCGATTTAGAGGCTCAGTTAAAGTCATTGTGGTTGAAAAGGCAACTGTGTAGCTCCTGGCAGTTTTAGGGGGTTGGCTGTCCCCAAATTGAGTTATCAAGGACAGACTGCCAAAGGCTGTGGGAAAAAAATCACTGATGTGTCAACATCAGAGCTCAGCAGAGCCCTTCAGGACCCCGAAGTAAGTTGTTCACCTTGTGCGAATCCTGCATAGTATCCAAACTTCTTGGAATCACTGGCATAGGAAGTCTGGAATGTTGTTGCCAAGGTTTGATGTCTGCTGCTTGGTTCCCTAAGGAGTACAAATAGCATGTGGCTCTACCATGAGGGACCACAGGATTCCAGATCAACTGAATCTGCTGTGGTCTTGTGTAAAGAACCCTTGGAGAAATGAGGATAGGCTTTCGGATGTTAGTTCATAGACAATTTGAGAAATGTTTTACTTATTGTGTCTCAGCTATAGTTAATCTCTCTGTCTCTCTCTTGGCTAGATCTCGTGTATAGAAATCAAGTGAGTGTTCCTTATACTCAATTTTCCCACTCCTTGGTATTACTCACTGCCTACCCGTTTTCCCCAGTGAAGTTGTAGCTTACTAGGAGAAAGTTTCCAAAAGCAACAAATGGGAGATGTAGCAAAAGTGACTAATTATTACCCATTTTCCCTGGAGACCAGCAAGACGAGAACTACGAGTTTGAGGAGGTAAACTCAGAAAACTTATTTAAGCATCACCCATGGTAGGATGATAGAGAAAAATAGACCAAAATCATCAGGGTCTAGAGATTGGCCTGGCCAACTGGGCACATGAGTTTTAGGATGACACCTTTTCTCTGCTTCTTCCATAAAAAAAATAATAATGGAATAGTCTTTCACTTTTCCCAAGATTGGGCATATGAAATGGGTGAAAGAACAAAGCAGCCATCCCTGTCATAGCACTAAAAGCAACATAGAAAGTGGAGTCAGAAAGATCTTGAGTCCATTCCTGCTTTATATCTTTCTCTTTGTGCAGCTGAGGACAAATTTTCTAACCCTCCTTGGGCCTTGATTTCCTTATATGTAAAATGATGTATTTACTTCCTTCTGGAGTTTTTAAAAGGTTTGAGTGAGATGATATTAATAAATTTTTAGCTATTATTAAGAATGGGAACACTTAATGAGAGCTATTATTATTTATTCATTAGGTGAGGTAAAATTTCCTTACATTAGATTTGTAAGACAGATGTCAAAAATTAAGAGTAAATTAACATCTCCTGCAGCTTTTCTAATTGCTAAAGTTGTTCAGATGAGTCTGTTCAGCTTTAGTTTGCCCTCTTAGAAGTCCATGGGCTGAAATCTGCATTAGATCCCTGGGACGTAATGAAAAGCCTGTTACAGAGACTCCTGCCCTGTGTTAGGCTTGGGTGGGTGAGATTTCTTTTTCTGTCGACACCAGATAAAAAATAGCTTTGAGAACATTCAGTCATTCAGCCTTTCCTATTGCCCTCTTCCTCAGCTTTCCTACTTTTCCTTCTGATTTTCAAAGCGCATAAATTATGAAACTCCTCAAGCAGGGCTATTTTTCCATCTTATAAAAATTGTTCCTCATTGTCTTCTAATAAGTCTAAAATTCCACAGAAGAAAACTCTAGGGAGCATTTGTTTTAAGTTCAGAATTTATACTTTTTTGAATATTTAAATGCCATTCCTCTCATAACCTCTAGATTCATGAACCAACTAATAGTTAAAAATTAACCTTTGCTTTACCACAAACTGATAGAATAATTTTTCCTCTAATCAGAGAGGTACAAGATTTTGAGCTAAAATACTAAGCTGGATTTAAAGCAGTAGTATATTACTTACTAACCAAGCTAACTTTTCATTTGGGATAGACACCATTTTTTTCTAGTCAAGTTCCCACAATCAAAGCTGACTTTTAGTTTAGTTTAGTGTAGTTTTTTTTTTAAATATCATGGCATTTTATGAGTATAATAATCATAAGTCCTGTTGAAAAACAACAGCCACAACAAAAACTGGCAACACAAAATTCTTCAGAACAGTCTTTAAAAAAATATATTTCTGGATCCCATTTTATCCTTCCCCTGCTCTATTTTCATAAGTTAATGTAAATAAATTTGCACATTCCATTTATAATTTATTTAGCTGTGTTAGTAAAGAATTCTAAGCCCTGTCCAACATTGATGTTAACTGATTCATATCCTTAAAAGGAAGGAACGGGGAAGAGGGAGGTAAAGATACCTTGGTATCTGATGCCTGTCCATTGTGGCTGAGGGAGACCTAGGACAGATAAAAGTGAGGAGAAGAGAGGGGACAAAAAAGGAGATAGAGAGGCCGTCTTTGAATACCAATTTACTGAAAATAATAGCAGCGTTAGCTTTACATTTCATAAAATACTTTGACCTTTTCCACTCTGAAAGTTAAAGTGATTTGCATAGAAACAAGGAGTTGATTAGCACTTTGTCATTTATATAGCACATTAGCTTCTTTGACTTGTCCCTGCGGGTGGGTCCTGTGCTTTGCTAAAGTGGTTACAAATTTTAAGAGAAGGAATTGGGTCTTCATTCTGTGATCATTAATTCCAAATTTGGATAAGCAAGATATCAGATAATGGGAAAGTCTCTTTTAGATTCTTTTTGGAGTAATGCTTTGGAAGGATTGTCAAGGATATAGTGACTAAATTTCTGCATTTTTACAGCAGATCCAGTTTAGACATCTCTTATCATATGACTATGGTCCGATTTTTTAGTTTAAAAAATAACAGCCACTTCCATGAGGGGTTCAGATCTTGTTTCCCTTCAGCAAGTTTTAGAGCCCTAGTGTTCAGCTTACTTAGGGATGTCTGGTATGAAATCGGAAAGCCTTCTCACACCATAGAAACTCCTGTGAGTTTGATTTGTTCCAGTCACAATTGAGATACTTGCCCCAAGCAGTCCCTTTGCAAAGCAGATGGTATAACGACATTGCTCACATGTAAAAACAGGTTGAGATGGAATCAAAACAAATCATAATGCAGATTTTCTCTGTCTCTTCCTATAGCTACAAAACCTTTTTATTAATGATGTTGTTTCTAGAAGTGTAACATCTAAAGCAGGTCAAAGCTGAGGAGGTAGCTAGTAACCACAACAGCTAGGTCTCTCTTCCCACCCACTAGCAGTCTCAAAAAGCTCAGGAATTAGGCCTGTTGGGACTCCATGGGACTCAGCAGGCAAGGCCAGAGACTGAGTGTGAGCAACCAGTTCCATCTCAGCTCCCATTCCTACTCAGCCAGACTTGGGATTCTGCATTCCAGCTTTGGTGGTAGAGATTCTCTTGGGGAGGACCTTCAGCTATTTGATCCCATTTATTTCCCAGGGATAAGCAGCAGTCATCCACCAAGCACTGTGAATACCTTGTCTGGACTGCAGGTCCTATGGGGTTAGGTGGACTCTGCAAATCTTACTCCTCTCCACTGTGGTCTGCTGTGTTGTATAGCTTCCAGCATTTGGTTCTTCCTTTTTCCACTGGGTTCCCTCGTGTGTCTGGATGCCTAGATGTGGTACAAGACTGTGGAAGTGGGGAACATGCACCTTGCTTTTCCTACCATACCCCACTTTTCCTAATTATATTCTTTTTTTGTTCACTAGATGATGATTCAGATCTATACTCTCCTCGATATTCCTTTTCTGAAGACAGTAAGTGACTGAATTTCCTGGTTGTGGGGGAGAAAAGGAAGATTATGGATGAGGGAAGATCTCTTTTGGCTTTAGTTTTCATTGGTTTTAAAAGTCTTTTGTGTGCACTTTCTTTCTCCAGCAAAATCTCCCCTTTCTGTGCCTCGCTCAAAAAGTGAGATGAGCTACATTGATGGTGAGAAGGTGGTTAAGAGGTCAGCCACACTCCCCCTCCCAGCTCGTTCTTCCTCACTAAAATCCAGCCCAGAAAGGTGAGTGCTTCCTTGTCTTATGTTCATCATTGGCAGCCAGTGCCTCCTGAACATTTATTGAGACCCAGGAGCCTCCTTTCTTAGAAACTTGGGAACTTGGAATTTGAATCCCTGCTGTCACCTATCAGCAGTGACTTATTCTTTCTGGGTCTCAATGTCCTTATCTGAAGATGGGGATGATAATAATAGCATGACTTCTTGTTACAAATGTTGCAAGAATAAAATCAGACAGTGCATGTTAACATTCCTAGTATGCCTGGCTCATTGTGTGGGCTTAATTAATGTTAACTATAATTATCATCACTTTCTACCCTTCCACAAGAAAAATCTCAACTACAAGATTTGTCATGTATTTTCATATTATGTGCACATACTAAATCTGTGTTTACATATTCATAGTAAAGAATATAATTTTAAAATAAAGCCAAACTTCTTAATGTCAGTTTACTTGTACACCCTGTATTATTGAGGCACAGTGCTTGGACTTCTTCTAATGACAACATTAGTTATGTCTTAATTCCTGTACAGAACAACCCAGTTTTCTTTTATTGCATTATTGCCTCTAAAGATGCCCTATGAAACAACCATGTCATATTATCTGGACAAGTGTCCCATGCATTTTCCATCCCCAGTCAATATCTATACACAGAAGACTTGGATGGATGAGACTATTTCTTTAAATATACATCTAGTTTCACCCCCCGTGCCTTCAAAAAACCCCATACGTACCAAAGTGGCATCTATCTTAGAAGTGGTATAATTAATTTGAAAGGAAGGTTGAGTACTCAAAAATCTTTTATAGGAGCATTCATTAGGGAACCTAATGGGTACATTTCATACAGATTGAACCAGATGTTACAGAAGAATAGAAATATGTGCAAATCATTGTCCTGCCATGAAGAAATTTTTAGCTTTACCTCAAAATTGAAATATGACCACAGTGTGAAGTGCAGTAATATACATGCATAAACTCTCTGCAGACAATTTCTAAGAATTCATTTTCTGAAACCCATTTCTGGATGGCAGCTTAAGAATCTGGGCCAAAGACTGAGCAGGGTAGGATGTGGAATGGGGTGGAAAAATGGTTATAGTAACAATAGTGTTTATCAAATAGTTGCCAAGAGGCTAGTGCTCTGCTCAGTAATTTACATGTACCGTCTCATTTAATCTGTATAACACCTCCTACTTTCAGAAGAGGAAACTGAGGTTCCAAGAGGTAAAGTCACCTATAAAGTCACCTACCTAGCAGGTGATATAGCAGGGATTTGAACCATACTTGACTGGATCTAGGACCTGGATTCTCTCTCTGCACTAGCATGAGTAGGAGGTATAGACCTGTTTGGGGAAAGATAAACTCATGAGAACAGAGCAAGGTGAAAGATTTTCCCGGGGCAAGCTTTGCTTCTGTTCTTCCCTTCTTCCTTCTCCTCTTCTCTCTACTTCCTGAGGCATGGCTTTGAGCATAGGATACCTCAAACCCTTTGTGAAGTGAAGAAAGAAATTTAATTGTTTGTTTTGGGAAGGAAGCCAGCACAACTAAATTGTTCACGCTTGACTCTGATTTTATACTTTGGATATAACAATTCCTTACCACAGCCAACCAAAGTCAGACCATGGGAGAAGCTGATGCCAGTTTTTATGTAAATAGCTCTAATAAGGTTTTCTTTCTACAGAAATGACTGGGAGCCCCCAGATAAGAAAGTGGATACCAGAAAATACCGGGCTGAGCCCAAAAGCATTTATGAATATCAGCCGGGCAAGTCTTCTGTTCTGAACAACGAAAAGATGGTAATATACATATGAAAGTTCTTTTGTTTCACTCTGCCCATGTTCTTTAATCTGGGTGCATTGTGTAGTTGGATTATATTCTTTTTTTTTTTTTGGATTATATTCTTTCCATCTTGAAATAGACTTGCTTTATTTAGAAGACAATGAAAATATGAAGTATTTTTACTCGTTTCATTTTTGCAGGTGTTCATAAAATAACTCCTGAGAGCTTGCTTTTAAAGAATCCTCTTATTGTGCCTCTGTTATGCCTTTTGTGCATGGTTTTAACTAATTTAGATTTTTCTGCTAACATAAAGATTGATTTTGCTGCTGCTTTTTTTTAAAAACAAAAAATCTAACCTTTAATTTATCAGGCTAGAGTCAAGTCAGGATTTTTAAAAAGTGATTCTTATTTGAACATGCATAAATTTTGTAGAAGCTACTAGTATGTCAGTAAAAGCTAAATAATTAATAGGATGTTATATCTTGAGGAAAAATCCAGGCCATCAGAATGTGTCTTTGGGTCTTCCTTTTTTGATAAGTGCAAGGTTATATTCAGTCTAGTTTTTGGTTCCTTACACAAGTTTAAATCTCCAGACAATAGTGGGAAAATGACCTATGTAGGCATAACAGACTGCCCTGGAAAAATGGCCTCTTCTCTGAAACGGGAAGAATTTTTACAAATGGATTCTTTTCATATCTGCCAATCATGCTTCCCTTTATTTACGTTTCATTAGAAAAAGCTGGCTCAGAATTCTGATTGTGGTAAAGGGAGTCTCCAGAGCTCCATAAACGTTGCAGCCCTCCAGCCATGACAGCAGGATGGAATGGTTATGCTGGGGACTGGTTTTTATTACACACTGTTATCACACCACACATAGAATAAGCAGGCCGCTGAAATGTGGATTCAAATTATTTTCCCTCCACACCTTCTGCTCTACATGTTTTTATGGAATAATTGATTTAACTTTTTCGAAAATAAAAATGTGACATCTTTAAAAGCACAGAGGTATAAGTAACTGTAATTAGGAGAGAAGGTCAACAGTTCACAAATGGTTTTAGAGTTGGCATTCTTCAGCATTTACTGTGCACCGCAGTTATTTTAAGCAGAAAATTCGGAGACAAGAAGCGGATCTTTCCTTAGCGCCCCTTTCATTGGAGGGTTTCAGCCTGTTAGTTCCTAGTAATGAACATAGATGGTAACCTTTTATCCAGGGTTCCTAGAAAGAAAGTCTTGCTCTTCAGGTAAATTCCTAACTCTTAAATACCCAGCTCACCTTAAGTACTGGAGCCCACCATCATATATTCATACATTTAAATGATTTCAGGGATTCTGTAGGCCTGTGGATGCTTGTGTTTTCGCAATACTGTGTGACCATTCATAGATTGTCATGGCTGTTACTAAAGATATGTTTTATTAATTTCTCCTTTGTTTTTATTTTCTTTCCTAGTAACTTAAATATCTTTCAGAACTGGAAAACAGCATCATAATTTTGTTTTCCTCATTGATATTACAATGGTCCAAGTATCTTCCATACCATAGCTTTTGGGATTACTTACATTGATTTTACAAACCCTGGGAAATAACATACAGTGTCTGACAGGTCTCTCTGGGGAGTGGTGGAGAACACTTATTTGATGGCAAAGCACCATGTGAGTGTTTCTTCACAGGAACTCCTCTGTTGTGCCAGCCTGAGGACCATCCATAACAGGACATAAGCACCAAAGGCCAACAAGGGAGGAGCCCCTCCATCCAATAGTTCAGTTCAGAGCTTTTCACTCAATTCAGGTCTATTCTTCCAAAGAGAAATTTTTAATTTTAGAGAAGAATTTTAGTTTAATCTTAATCTTTTGAATCTACCTTTCACAGTAGATGAATTAGTCTTTTATATTTCATTGTTTTTCTGCTAATTTTATCATATGAACAAAACAGTTGAAATGTGAGTTTTAGTGGGTGAGTCTTGCCTTTTGTATCCAGTATCTGGTTTGCTAGAATTTGAGCATTTCCAAACCCATACATATCTGGGCGAGGGTGTTAACTGTGGTAAATACACAGGTGTGACAGATGTAGAATCTAAGTTTGCTTTTAGATATTTATCTCATTGTGGGAAAACTTACCTTTCTTTTTCCATTCATAGTACTCATGTCTGTTTAACCCTGTCAACCTAAGATATGACTCCAGAGGCACATCTATATGTTTCTAGCAAAAAGGGTTGAATGATAGAGTATTCAGACTGTTAGAACTCAGCTTGCCCCTGGAGCATACCCATACCAACCCAGACCCATATAACACTACTACCTTCAAAATCCCCCATGGATTTACAATTTTGATCACATGTTCACCTACTTGACTCACTCATAAAGGTCTAAATACCACTTGGCCCCTTTTATCACAGTAAAAATCTGTTTTCTTTTCTTCAGCCTTGCAATCGGAGATCTATTGGTTGGTGGCTGCTTTGCCAAAAAAGGCCTTTTTCAGGCTTTATCTCTTTACACTTTAAAGTCCTTTACTGAGCATGATATAAGCTTCATTAAACAAATTATAGATAGATAGATAGATAGATAGATAGATAGATAGATAGCTTAACTTTTACACACCAAGCAAGCCCTGGGTTAGATGTTGAGTTCCCTGTTCCCATAGTTGTATAAGTAACACGATATATATTTGAGAGTGCAAAACAAGGGGATTAACCCAATTTGGTTTCTTCCCAGTTCACCATCACTTGCTTCCTTGCCTAGCATTTCATGTGAGTCACCACCCCTGCTTTAGCTTGGTGTTATCCAAAAACTCAGTGAGTTTGTCTCCTATCATTTGGAGTAAGAGAAATAGAATATAATATAGGGTACAAAAATCTGAAACAGGAATTGGAAGATCTGAGTTTTGTTCTAGTTCTGACTCTGTCATATGTCTTGGGGCAAGTGACTTGATCTTTGTGAATGTCAGTGTTTTCATTCATAAATAAAAATATTATCTGGTTTTCCAACCCTAGTGAAATAATTGAGTAAGGCAGTCAAGTATGATAATATGGATATAAGGACTATGAACAAGGTGGGGATGGCAGCTTGTGCCTATAATCCAAGCTCTCTGGGATCCTGAGGCAGAAGGACTGCAAGTTTGAGCCCAGCCTGTACAATTCAGTGACTTAGTGAAAACCTGTCTCAAAATAAAAAATATAAAGGGGTGGGGATGTAGCTAAATGTGAAGGACCAGGGTTCAAACTTCAGTGCCACTGGAAAACAAACAAATAAAAAAAACCTAAAACTGGTATAAAGTGTTAGGCAAATGAACATACCACATTCAGAGATGTACAGCAGAGTTATACCTGATAGACCAAATTCAGGTGTTAGTTCTGTGTGGTGTAGGGTTTTAGCCTTATTTCTGGGCAGTCCGAAGAATGGAGTCTTTTGGATCCAAAGCTCTAGACTCAAGTTGTTTCCTATACCTCCTGATTCTACCCTTGACACATCATTAACCTCATCAGTAAAATAATCTGCACACAGCAGTTGAGAATAAAATGGGTTAATTCTTTCAAGACTATAAGTATCAAAACTTTCAGGCAGTTTCCCAAAAGAGTTGGTACATTTATTTGTTTTAAAGCCTAACCTATTCCCAAGAAGCAGTTTAAAAATACTCTTTGTAAAAATAAACATGAAATAGGTTTCATGAAACTCTATCATATTAGAATCTAGAATGTCCCAGTGTCTAAGCTGCCATTCTCAAATGGTTGTATCCTTGTTGGCATTGTGCCCCATTTCACTGAATAAACAAAAAATCCATTTACCTTTAGGGAGAACAACCTTTCCCCTTAAAGATCAAAGCCCTAGGTCCTCACACATTTGAAAGAGATCAGAAATGCAAGAGGACAGGGCCTGTGTTTCTTATTTCATCTTAGTTTTTGGGTTTTTTCCCTCTTTTTGGTACCAGGGATCAAACTCAGGACCTTGCACTTGGGAGGCAGGCACCAGAACCACTGAGTTAAATCCCTGGCCCAGATTTCATCTTAGTTTAATTTCAGTTAAAAGTTATCTGCTGTATATCCATATCATCCTCTCCCTGTAACAGTAAGTCAAGGCAATGGTACAGATTCTTCTAAGGATCTTGGAGAAGAGGTTGGTAAAGGTCATTAAGACAGTTTGCAGCCTTTTCTACAAGTTACAAAAGGACTATTAACTGATTTGTTAAGAAAAATATATCCAGGAAGAGCTGCTTTGTGATATAGTAGGACTGAAGATATCTACTGAGGGCTCAGCAGCCCTCTTCTGCATACACCTTCCGGGAGATAGCCTGGAAGTGAAGTTCTTATGTGATGTTTTGAATCTTATTAGGAAATACATACATTTTATATTTTAGGTTATTCTAGAAAATCACTATAGTTTTTTTTGTTATTATCAAAAATTTTTGAAACATGTACATGAATGAATTTAAGCCATGACTTTCAAATACTTTTGTCTGATATGAACATAGCTGACATTTATTAAGGGGAAAACTTGATTTGCTTTCCAGACATTCACTTCTGAACTAATTTCTAGAAATACAAGTTCCCCACAGTAAGGTACCAGAAGTTTATACATATTTGATTAAGTAACATGGAATCAAATTATCAGTGTATATGTGATACCTCTTAGAGTTATATAAAGTGAGAAATCTAACTTATTTTTGTAACATAACCCAGAAGTTTTCTTTCCCCTGTTCTGTTATCTGTCTTGTCTAGCTTTTCTGTCACTTAATTTTTTTCTCAGTTCTTTAACATCTGTTGGAATACAGAGTTTATCCTGTCTACTCATCCCCCTCCGATACTTGTTTAAAATGTTTTTTCACTTGTGTCCTTTGTTTTTACTTATACCATCTTTTACTTTACTGTGTTCAAGACATGGTTTCTCACTTATCCATGTGCCATTAAAGATGCAGTATTAACAAATTGGCTTTCATAAGGTGTTGATATTTGTATTTATTTTGAAAATGTTGAGGCAGCCTTGCAAATATGTACTAATACTATACTAGCCCATAAAAACTGTTTGCTCTACTCAGCTGGCATAGATGCTCAATGTTTGGTGTGCTCACCAGTAACTAAGAGTTCTTTGTAAGAGGAAATAATGGCTTTCTTTTTTCCCACAATACTTAAAGTTACTAAGGAATGCTTTTGGACCCATATTTAGATTTTGGACCCATGAACAGCTGCAGTGTGGTACAGAGTTCTCCATCTCCAGTCCATCTGCCTCTGCTGCAGGACTGAGAACGAGTCTCTCACTGCTCCCTACCCCAGTTTCCCTGTTTCCTATTCTTCCTGTTTTTGCTGCTATAAGTAAAAATGGACAATTGCTGCTGTTGAATGCAGTTGCTATATATACCTAGAAACCACTGCATCTCTACTGGCCTGATCCTATGTAATCTTTTCATAATGTTATCCTTCTCTTTCTTCCATTTCCCTATCAACCAACCCCTATAGAGTCGGGATATAAGCCCAGAAGAGATAGATTTAAAGAATGAACCTTGGTATAAATTCTTTTCGGAATTGGAGTTTGGGAAACCGGTAAGTTTAATAGCTTCAGCGGTTATATGCCTTTTTAAATAAAGCTGTTCATGCATTGTTGCTGCTAAAGAATCAGACTGATGTGTAAGGAATTCAGTAAGTGGGGAGAAGTCATGTTGGTTGTCAAGAGCAGGACTATCTCATCTCCAAACTGTGAGCTTTCCTTACTTTACTTCACCAAGAAAAGATAGTGAGTTCCAAAAGTATATCTTACGAGATATCTCAAAGAACACAACTAAATTATTGCTAGTCCTGGGGGACACCCCCCCCCCGCAACTACTGACAAGTATCACGTGCCTTATGGATGCCATTATCTTTGCCATTGGTTCACCACCTTAACCAAAGTCTTTGTAGGATGCTGAAAATAAGGAGGAAAATGCATTACACACTGAGAAACCAGCACTATTTCTGCCTCAGAGAGCACGCATGTGGGACAAGTGGGAGAGCAGGTCAAAAGGGGCCCCTATGCAGGCACAATCCATAAATGCAGCCCCATTATAGGCAACTTCTAGGGAATGATTTCTGTGAGTTAGGGTAATATTTTCCAAAGTTCCGAATGAAGGTTGGAAATTCTAGCAGATTTAGTGTTCAAACTAATGCTCTGCAGCTTCCTTGTAATAGTATCTCTGAGTCGGCATTGGTGATAATTGACTTTGGCATTTAAAGAATGATTTTCTTAGCCCTCAGCCAAAGGAATATCAAATAGAAAGGAGAATTGAGCTCATCCTTACCCTCAAGATGACCCTGGCATTAAAACTCTACTTAATTTAGTTTTAATTATTACAACTACAAAAAGAATTTACAGGTGGAGATGAGAAGCATATGAAAATAAAATATTTTATTAGATATTTGTATGAATTGCTAAATATTGAATCCAACATTTGAATTTTTGTAGTTTGAGATGATAGTTTCATTTGCAGGTAGGAATTAACTTTATAGTTCAGTAAAATGTTAAATTTCACAGCATCACAGCATCCTGCTTGCAGAAACAGGGATTTCTGTCTTTTGATCCCTCCAGGAGACCTTAAGGTGGCAAGTGAGCCGTCCTTGATGAAGAGTGCCACCTAGGGACAGTGGAGAGGAATGAGCCTAGTCCAAACTAAACCCTTCTCTTCCCCATTCTGTAAGGTCTGGAGCACATCCATTTCATCTACTTTCCCTTTTTTCCCCTACTGTTCACCAGCTAGACATCAAAGCTACTTCAGGCAATCTTTTTCATATGCAAGTATCAAGCAATATCTTTACCATTTTCCTTTTCTTCTCTTTCTCAAAACTTGTTACATTATTGTAGGAAAAAAAGCTTCTTTTGACATATATACTGTAGTCTCATCTCCCACCCATAATTTGATTGGTGTATTTAACAGTAACAACATATTTTCATCAAAGAAAGCGAAAGCTTCTAGCAAAACAGTAAAATTTGTTTAAATTATGTGTAATAAAGAGTCCATGCCATTGATTTTTGAAGCCGTTTCAGAGTCTACAAGTTTCTGGCCATCTCATTTGCCAAAACACTGAACTAGTTTTATCTGAAATATTATCTCCTAGGAAAACATTATGAAGATTTTTTTCTAATTAACTGTGATTTGTTTTCCTAAATCTATCATAGGAAACAGTTTTTGTTGACAACAAATAGTATTTCAGTCCCATTATACACTATTTAGACTCAGAGAGAGTAACTTGGGAAATTAACACTGTTTCTTTTGGAAACTATGGTCTGTGGACCACATACCACCTCAAACATATATTGAGAACACAGTCTATTTGTATATTGAGATCTTCATCTTTACCCCATTGCTCTAACTGCCCTTAATTATTTGAAGAATTAAACATGCTTTCCTATAATGGCATTTTTTCTGAAGCCATATGCGTTCTTCACCAAACTTCAGAGCCCTAATGCAACTGCTCCCTTTTGTATAGGTCTTGCTTTAAAAGATAATACTTTTGAAGACTTGCCAAAATATCTTAATCAATGCCCGTATCCTGAGGAACAGCATTGAGAGAAATAGTTCCTTGTAGTTTGAGGCAGACTAAAGGTGGGCTTATTATCTAACTGAACCAACAGGTTTGAGGAGAAAGTGTGATAGGGAGAATTTCCTCCCCCTCTTTTCTTTCCCCTACCCCTGTGGACCACAAGAGTAAGGGATATGAATAAAAATGTGAACCCTAAAAGTTTATTTGGAAATGTTTTCAGCCATTCAGAAGCAGAATGAAATTAAAACTCCTATTGAATGTTGTGGATTATCATTTCTACTTTTAAAATTGTTGTTCATACCAACTCAGGTCCTCTCTCCCCAAGTAAAGCCTGCTAGATCTTTGACACTAGACATTTGCACTGAACTTTTTCTTCCTCAATCAATTTACTTCAAGCCACTCAAACTCAAAATTTCAGCAAGATCCTGGCTTTAATACCTTTTAGCTCAACAAGTTGTTAGAGAATAGTAAATAATTCAAGACTCCAGGGACCATTTTAGAGATGATTATTTAAGACCAATTTAATTTGTAAACATTGTCTTTTTTTTTGCAATAAAAAGATGAATGTGGTTATGTGTGTGACTTTTAAAAGTCTGCTTCCCAAATGAAGTGTTAGAGATGATTTTTGCAGTAAAGAAAGGAATATGGTAATGTGTGTGACTTTTAAAAGTCTGTTTCCCAAATGAAGTGCTAGAGATGAATTATAATTGCTAATGTTACTTACTTTATAGACTGTAGAATGTACATATATGGAGATGACAATACTGAGCTGCTATTGTCTGTGACGAACACACTTTGGAATCAGATTACTTTTCTTTTGCAGATTCATTGCAGGGAACTTGAGCATCAGCTTTTTCTTCTCTTTTTTACTCAGAGTTCTATAGAAATTGACAGGATTTTTGTATAAACTCAAGGCAGAATTTCTGAATGCTGCCATAGGGTCAGTTATAATGAAATTTGCTTAGAATCTCAGGAGCTTTTAATGATCTCCTTTTTCACATCTCCCCAGAGGTCATTATATAAGAAATTTCAACTGTAAGTAGGTAGAACAAAAAAGTCCACTTGGTGGGAGAGAAGCTCCAGGGTTAGAAATGTCTTGTGACTTTTGAGTGTCCTCTGTACTGTACCTCTCCCTTGTTGAACCTATAACAATATCATAGGAGGTTTCCATCTTACAAATGTAGCTCCGATTCTAACATGAAAGTTTAAAAGAGAAAACAAAAAAACCCTCATAGTCTACTGTTTAAATTTTAAGTTAAAATTCTGTTCTCTAGGAAGATGGAAGATGTGTCTCTATGACTAGCAGTATTGTAAAATGTAGTTAAACTGTAAAAGGAGAATTTAAAACTATGAAATTGTCTAATGCATTAATGCCCCTTTTGTGCATGGATTTCCTTGGTACAATCTACAGAAAACAAATTTAGTTCAGTTTACCCTCTATTGGCCAAACCTCTAGGTTCACACAGTTATTGACATTTATTGACAGTGAATTTTTTACATGGGGAAGACTGAAAAATGTAGACTCCCTAGTGTTAACCCTAGTTTGAAAAGAACAATGAGGAATTTGAAAGTTTCTAGTTTTGTTCAAAATCATGTTAGTGCACCCCCCTTTTTTATATTTTCAGTATTTAGAATCCAACAATGATTTATTTGCTCTTTAGACATAGACATAGAAACACATTTACTAGCTAGTGGTTCCAGATTCTCCTGGGGCAAGCAGCCTTGTGTCCTGAAACAGAGTCCCCAGCCCTTTGCTTTGAGTTTGCCTCTCTGTGTTGGTACAGTTCTCCTAGTGTGCCCCTCTTTGTTTGAGCCAGCCTCCATGTTTGTCTTTATGTCTTTATGCTCATTTCTTCATTTCCTCCTCTGCTTCCCGTCAGCCTCCCAAAAAGATATGGGATTATACTCCAGGAGACTGCTCTATCCTTCCTAGAGAGGATAGAAAGGTAATTCAGCTGTGCCGCCTCTGTGGACTGTGTGCGTGTTCTTTAGCTTGGTTAGTGTGAATGTGTTTGTTTTCTTTCTTAAGTCATTTTTTTCTTTAAACTTGGTAACTTTTGTATTTGGCTTGATGCTAAAACTAACAAAGTCTCTAAGACATATACTAATGTTTAGAGGTTTTTAAAATAATTATTCTTCTGACATATAGTATTTGTCACAGTCACCCTACTCTGAAAAGGGAGAAAGTAGGCCTTTCCATAAAGGTAAGTTTTTGTAGTATTTGTAGATTATTAAGTAGATTTTTGAAGCTTTGATACTTCAAGATTCCTATTGTATATACCTAATGTTGTATTCTCTGTTTTCACGTCTTAACTAATTTCTGGTGAGCTCTTGTGATTGAGTCATGCCATCTTGGCCTTACTAAAGTATAACACTTTAAAAAAAACTCATTTTCAAACTTAACTTTCCATTCTTTCTCCCTTTCCTCTAAACTAAAACATTCTTTCTCATCTTTTCTTTCTTGAACCAGACTAATCTAGAAAAAGATCTCAACCTCTGCCAAACAGAGTTAGAGGCAGATTTAGAAAAAATGGAGACGATTAATAAAGCACCCAATTCAAACTCACCACAGGTATTTCCCAGTTTTTCTCATGCCATTGGTTTATTTTCATGCTGTGCTTTGTTTTCTTCTCCATTCTATGGTTTCTAGTAGAATAGAGGTGACAGCCAGTAATGCTGGTTATTTTAAACTGCATGGCTTTTCTGAATTGTGTTTTAGAACCCACCCACTGCCTACCTCCATCCTCATTTCCATCCCTACTAAATTTTTGTTGGGATTCTTTTTGAATTTTATATCTTCCTTAAAGGGGACTTTTCAAATATATGCAGAGTGGCTGGTCATTTTAACTACTCGCCTCCATTTCATGGTCCCTTCCTCTGCTTTCAGCGGGTGACCCTTTTAAGTTCCTTTCCTTTACCTCTGTGTACCTTTTCTCAATTTTGAAGGACGTATTTTTTTTTTTTTTTTTGGCAATTTCCTTGTCTTTTTTGGTATCCCTGGGAGATACCAACCTCAAGAGACATTTTCAAAAACCTAACAGTAAACCAGACACAATGGTGCACATCTGTAACCCCAGTGAACTGAGAAGCTATAGCAAGGATCACAAGTTCTAGAACAGCCTGAGCAACTTAGTAAGACCCTGTCTCAAAAGATAAAAAGGCTGGTGCTATTCATTGGTAGATCACTTGCCTAGCATGTGTGAAGTCCTGTATTGAATTCTCAGTACTGACATAAAAACAAACAAAACAAAAAATTAAAAAAGGGCAGTAGTAATGATTTGGGTTCCTTTTCTGTGCAAGGCATTGTCAGAGCAATAGTACAGTTGTATCTTGGTACACAAACTTAATTCTTAGAGCAATTCTGGTTGCAGAATTCATTCCATGATTCTGGTTGCAACTGAATTCAAGAGAATCATGAAACAAATTATGCGACCAGAATGGTAGAAAGAATTAAGTTCATGAATCAAGGTACCACTGTATTTATAGTTTTAAAGGTCAGAAAGTTATGAAAAAAATGTACTCCGGAGGTCAGCCTGGACATAAGCAAATATTTGAGACTGAACTTGCATTGATATTGTTAAAGGGAGTTATGTTAAAATACAATTTATTAAAAGTCAGTCCAAGGTAAATGTGTTTCCAGAGGGAAAGCAAATATTTGCAGAATTGTTCCTAGGGCTTCTGACAAAATTAAAAAGATTTTTGTGAGGGAAGGATATCTTTAGAAGAGAATAAAAAAGGAATGTGGATGCTTCTCAAGAAGCCAAGAAAATCCACAAACTATGGCAGGCAAAGTGGATCTCTGTTAATGGATCTCTGTTATACATAAGCAGAAATAAGACAAAGGGTTAGTCAGACCACCAGAATAAGTACTTGGAGTACAAAGGGTCATTTGAATACCAGAGACTTGAACCAGGGAAAAGATGGAAAAACCAAGATATTATGGTATTAGCCAAGTAGAGCTCTGATAAGAGAGTTTCAGGCCATTCAGGGCACTTAGGAGTTAGGGATCCAGAGAGTCACCAAAGAGTGAGTGAGCCAGAACGGGTAGTGGTCAAGACTGTGAGGCTCATCCTCAGAACTTGAAGAAGGCACAAAAGGTAAGTCACCATGTATGCAATTGAAGCAGATAGGTACTGGGGATTGGGGAAAGACTGATAAGAAGGAGCTAAATTTCCAACCAGGGTGGAGACTGGAACCTGGTATACCCACTGTCAGTTCAAGGTTCAAGGTGAGAAGTGATCACAGCTAGTTTTGAAGTAAGAACTGTGGCTTCAGGTAAGCCCTAAAGTGGTCTGGGATGTGGATGGGAAGTCTGTGGTAGGTTGGCAAAAATGAATCGGTCGGTTCTTTGCAAAGTAGCCCAAAATAAGAGTGTAACTTACACAAAGATGGGAGACCACTAGAGAGCTACTGAATTAACTGCTAACTGCTATCTTCTGGGGGCAGAGCCTGCTTCAGAGATCCAGAGCCCTGCGCAGGGCTCAGTGGTCACAGGAAAGCATTGGATCCATGAATCATCTTCACATTGGTTGACTGGTGCTCATTAGTCCTGCACATGTATGAGAGGGACTGGGAGAGCCCTTACACCAACGAGCACAGAGAAAGGGACTTTACCTTCACGAATGTGATGATTCTGTCACACCTATAAGTCAATGATCTCCAACAGTGGACACAACCGTATGTACTAAGAGCTAAGTGAGCAGTTTGGGTTCTAAGAGCCAGAAGAGAGGTAAGTCTTATGAGAAATCAAGGAGTTAGCCAAGATTTTAAAAGGTGAATGGAACTTAGGTACATGGCCAGAGTATGGAGTATTCATTTGTGGCACTAGGAAAGCATTAGAAAGAATCCAGAAGAACACATGTTTAAGGGATAAGAGGAATTCTGCTGGAAAAAGAAATTTTGAGTGGGAATTAGTGGGAGGTAGGTTTGGGAAAGATAGTTGACCCTGGATTGTTGAGGCTTAGATCATATGACTAAGGAGATGATGGTTTTTTCCCTCAGACCAGTGATATAATTCAGGGAATGTTATAGGGAGAATAGTATCATTGTTGTAGAGGCTGAAATGAAGGGAGAAGAAAACTCAAGTCTCAGAGGTCAAGGAGTCCAGTACAACAGTAGTCCAGACATGTCATGGTGAAGCCTTATTGTGGTAGCACCAATGTGCAGGAAAGGAAAGGTAGAGAGATCACCAAGAAAATTGCAATAAGACATTTTAACTAATTGGTGTGAAGAACAAAGAATTGGGGGAAAGGATTAGACAGACAACTTTAGAGTTTAGGCCAGATAGCTGGAATAGTGAGGACATCAGTATGTTACATAAAGCCAAGAAGAAAATCAATGCAGTATTAAGATGAGAGAGTTGGTTTCAGGTATTTGACTTTTGAAGTGTTGGTTGGGCATCATGTAGGGGATATCCAGAAGATGTTTGGAACTCTAAGACTAGGAGTCACAAAGGAGGCAAGGACTTTTAGAAGCCAATTGTAGTTACCTGAAAAAAGGTAATTGATGTAGCTCTAGGAATAGGTGAAGCCACTCAACCTGGGAGTAGTTGAAAGATTGAATAAGAGGGAATCATATTAAGAAAAAGGAGGGAAGATCATCGGTTACCCATTGGAATGTTGGTTGACATAGAACAGGAGAAGGGGAGAGTGACTGAAAGGACAGTTCAGAGAGATGGAGGGGAATGAGTAATAGAGCAGGGGGAGAAAGTATAAGAACTACTGAAGTGCTCTAGAGAGGTCCAAAAAAGAAGGGCTCCCAGGAAGGGTTTATAGATTTCATAACTGAGAAGTTTTCAAAAACTTTGGAGGTTGCAGGGTGCGTAGCTGGAAATTAGAGTACATGGCAAAGAATCAGAGAATCAAGATTTGACCATGAAAAGGAAGAAGGGAGGGAGGGGGAAAGGAGAGAGAAGACATTCCTAGAGGATTTCACAGGGTCATGCAAAAACTTTTCCAGGTGGAGACCAAGGAAAGGTCTTCAAAGATGGAAGACCAAAATGGGACAAGTGCTAAGAGGTAGGAGACTCAAGGAGAGAGGATGGGCAAGCAAGACCAGTGCAGCCAGAAAGGCTGGAGGGTGAATTTGGAGATAAGAGCTCATGACCTGTCTGAGAAGTAATGGCATTGGGTGAGGTAGGGTCATCATTTGGGGACAGAGATGCTCTCAAAGATGAAAAGACCCAAACCCACAAGTTGGAAGGTGGGTATTTCACCCCCTTCTTGCCACCTCCTTCTCCCTCTTTCATAATCTCTTCCTTTTCTTTTTCTTTACCTCCTTTTCCCAAATATTTCTTCTCCAGAGAGCTTGTTTTCCTTTAAATGCTCATTATTAGAGAGATAAGTCATTATTAGGGGTATCTTCAAAAGTTAATTTTTACATTGATTTATTCATCACAAATATATCAAACCCTTTACCTTTTTCTCTCCAAGACAACAAAAGAAACCATAAACTGTATAATTATGTTGCTTTTTCTGTGCATGTAGCTCTTGGTGGTTTTTTTCCCCCTCCCTTTTGTGTTGTGGCCTATAGTTTTGTAAAGCATTTCTCCATTCTTCTTGAAATGGTCATTAGTAGGATTTGTGAAATTGTATCGCTCCCCATTTCCACACTTCTTAAACTTCAGGAATAAACAAATTATCTAAATACAGTACTATCTTTAAAATGCACTTTTGCGCATTCTTTATCTAAATTGTTGTGTGACTCTCTCTGGATGTGGCAGGGCGCATGAAAGTTTCTGTGGTGAGCCCAGCATGGGGATCTGAGGCCTGGGGAAATGCTGGTGAAAAGCGTGCTGTCCATGTAACTTGGGTGGGGGGGCAATCAGTCACCCTGGGAGCCTGCAGCTGAAGATAAGTGTGAATCAGGAGGCCATCTCCTGACTCCCTCAGAGAAACATGGCTGAATTTACTGGAAGGTGCAAGACCAGAGCATGAGAAAGTACACTGCCCCGAAATCCTCCCCTCCCAAAAAAGAGCACTGCCTTCCACCAGCCCTGGAAGCCTTCCATCCAGGCACCTTGTCACATATCTAAATGAGGATAGGAAAGTGGCTTATCTCTTTTTCTCTCAGCTTGTAACCTCTAAGTAAAAATAAGTCATCTACATTTTTTTTTTTTTTTTTTTAATTTACAGAGCTCAGCAGTCAGCCCCACTCCAGACATTTCTTCAGAGCCTCCTGGATAGTAAGTTACTTCACTTTGTTTACATGAATTAATGCATTAAATGTCAGAAACAGGATGAGAGAGACATGTGTTTTGGACCCAGAGTATTTCATTTATATCTGTCTAGAGACTTTAAATGAAGTGATAAGTAGCAGTCTAATAGCGTCCAAATTATTTTTCTTTTGTTCTCTCTCCTTCCAAATGAATTTTATGACGATTCCTATACTTTGGTAAGTTTTTCCCTCTGTTTATGTCCTTACCTTAGAATATGAGGTTATATGTCTATGTTTAGAATCAAAGTTCTCTACTGTGGATTCTTGTGGGAGGGAGAGTGTAACTTAGGATGGGCTGAAATTGGTGTCAAGATAGAGGGACAGACGGTGTTGGGGTTGAGTCCCTGGGCCGGACCTGCCGTGCAGAAAGTGAAGTTAAGAGGGGACCAACTTACTTGATTCTCAGATAGATGTGGATTTGTTTCCCTGTATTGTTAGTACCCTGAAAGCATGATGCATGCTCTCTCCATTTACTTCATGAAGTAACCACCAGCCTCCTGTCCTGCATCCCAAAACTACTGAGAATCCTCTACCAGATTGCCTTTCTCAGTACTTTGGTGTGGAACTATTGTCTCAGGTGAAGATTTTCAGTGCTATCCTTACCCAATTAGATACATGATAAATAGAAAACATTTCATCTTATACAAATAGGTCCTAACTGAGCCGCCTTATACCATGTCTCATGTTAGTACCTCATGTGACCCTTCTGCTGCCATATACCTGAGTTGCACTCTTCTATTATTCTAATTGTTTATAATTTATAAACTCCTTAAGGGCAAGGCCTTCCATGTACATGGTACCTGGCACATATAAATTTGGGAAAGGAGCTGATGTGGGCAGGAGTATTTCTGTATCCTTTCTCCATCATACTTACAGCTCATTCTTTGAAATATGAGGAGGAATAGCACAGTGGTTACTACTCCAGTGGGGTCAGAATACCACAGTGAGAAAATTTGCTGAGTTTATGGGGTTTTTTGGACAAATAGTGTGGTCATTTGGACATGTTCTACTGTACCTTGCTTGCCAGAGCAAGTACTTAGCAGGAGGAGTTTCACTTGAAAGTCAGCTAGGATTTGGGTATTTCAGTGGAAAAAAATGGAAAAGCTTTCATCTTTTTGGGGTAGTGATCAAAAGCTCTAGCCAGATCCATTATTTTAATTTTTCTACTGTAAATATGTGTGCTTCATGATCAATATACCCAAAGAAGAAATTTAAGAGATATATTAAGATAGCAACTAGAAGGAAAAGTTACCTGCCTTAGAGAATAGTTCCTACCTTGGAGAAGCAGGATATAAATTCTCTTGCATTCACTGCAGGAGTGTTGACCAAGTCACCAATATGATGCAGAAGAGTCAGGGAAGAAATGTAGCATCAGGACCGCCCCCCCCCCCCCCCCCCGCCCATACTTTTTCCCTCCATGCTGGGCTCTAAGCCCACTCTATTAAAGAACTTCCAGTAGAATTGTGCCTTTACCTATAAGGGTGGCAAATAGGGCATAGGTCTTCTAGGTCCCAGAGATGTGCTTTCAGGGATGAAAGTGACCAGGTGACCTTAGACTACCTGAAGATAAAGGACTTCCTCCTGGTCCCAGCAATTCTCCTTGGCCCTCAAGGCTGCCTGTTTGCTTTTAGCTTGTCATTTTGGCACTCCTGACTGTACAGTGCCTGATTGGACTTTTAAACCAGATTGCTTCTTCCCCTTGGTGTTTCAGAATTGCCCAGTATTAACCATTTCCTCACCCTTATCTCCCTCAAATGCACAAAACATAAAGGACTGCGTCCAGGCATAGTGGCAGCTAAGTGAATTCCTTAGTTCTGCTGGGCTAAGACACAATGCTAGTTATTGTAATAGGGATGTAGATATAATCCCTTAAGAATTTGGGGGCAACACACACACTCACACAAAATGAGTGTAAATGAAAGGGCAAAGTAGCAAATAAGTGAAATAGACTATAAGCATTAAAAGTGTTTAGAAGATAGGTTGGGAGTAGAGCACTTACCTAGATGTGGGAAGCCCTAGAGGTTCAATTGACAGTACCACACCAAAAACAAAACAAAAGTTTGGAAGAGAAAGCTGCCATGGACTGTCAATGTTAGGAGCACAAATCTCAAATAAAATAATTGCAAATTTGTTGAGCACTTACTATGTACCAGACCCTATGCTTAACATTTTGTTTTACCTTGTATCACTGGCTATTACTTCTAATATTCTTTGTAAAGATGAGGAAATGGGCACACTGAGGCAATGTGATGCCCCCTTTTCTACAGCTAGTAGGAGTGTTCTGATTCTAATTTGGTAATTAGCAGAAGACATAGTTTCCCTGGTTTTGAGCTATTATAAAACAATACAAACAACTATTTGTAATACTGGGTTAGTAAGACTGAAAGGGACTAAGTATAAAGCACTTAGAATAGTAAAGTGTTTTTAGACTCCGTGATTGTCCATAAATATATTTGATATGTTGATTTACCAACCACTCTTATGTGTCTCATTGAAATGGGTCTCTAAAAACTTCTGTTTTGCAGCCATAGCCAGCTCTTCTGAAATACTTGGCAGGAAATGATGAGTCATTTCCTTGTGCTTTTCTCCTCTTTGGGGTTTTTTCAGTAATCAGGCTTGGTGTTCTCCCATTTTATCCAAATATGTAAGATTTTCCCATATTTGGGATTAGTGAAGAAGCAGCCCAAGCGGGGTGCCTGGCCCAAAGGGAAGAATGCAGTAAATGCCTGCTGGACAAATGAATGGATCTATAAATCTTAATAACTGGAGTCCAGTTTACTTAGCACCGAGGAAAACACCTTGCACACTGAATCTGGCCCCTTTCACTGATGAATGAGGATAACATATTGAAGGAAATGTTGGCTGCATTGACCTAAACCAAGGAAAGAAGAAAGAGCAGTCACAGATGGCCTAGGTTCACAATTTTGTGGCAACTGGAGAAGTGATATTATTTTAAACTCACTTTCATGTCTAGGACAGATTGCAGTTTGTCAATTAATAAATTGATTAGCATTAATTATGTGCTACAGTATTAAAAGAACTTAGGAACAGGGAGGAAGAAATTCACCCCTAGTTTCAATATCCTAATACAGTGACCCATCATTGCTTCAAATATACTTTTTATAGTTACCTTCACAGTGTTTGTCCAATTCTGTATGTTATCTACCTAAAATTATCATGTATAAATTAGTAGTGAAAGCTACTGATTATTTTCATCATTGCCTACCATTTTAGCATTGACCAGCACCAATACCTTCTTTGCCTAACCAAAAGCTTTTTACTCAGTTTGACCAGCAGGTGGCACTCTAGGACAAGCTAGTTCCTGGATGGTACACCAGAATGCTTTCTCTCCTTGACCTGATTTAAGAACAATACACAAATCATAACTTGAAAAATTGTATGAAACATTCAGAACTCCCCTGGGCAAAATATGTCAGAAATATGTAGGCATTTAATTAGAATAATTTACTCACCAATATTTGTTGAACAACCATGCTAAGTACAAGACAAATAAAGATTAATAAAATAAACTGCCTGCCCACAAAGGGTTCAGATGTAATCTATGAAAAAGATTTGTAAATAACAGCCAGCATCTAGTGTGGTAAATGCAGTGAGGGGATCATAAAGTAAGTGAGCACCTCTTATTTTGTGGAGGAGGAAACATAGACTTTATACAGCAGCACATAAAATCTGAATAGCGGTAACATATTACATATATTAAAAATAAAATTTTCTTGCAGTATGCAAGGTTATGAGATGAAACATCTAGAGTGTCGTCTAGATTTGCTCCCCTAAAGCTACAATTAATAATTTCTTTTCCCTTTCCTCCCTGAAATCAGAAAATAGGTTTGAACAGTAAATACAAGCTTCATGAAGGTGGAATGTTTTTGTTTGTTTTGTTACCAGCCAACTCTCTTCTACCTAGGAGTGATTGACATGTAGTAGATGCTCAGTAAGTATTGAGTTGTAGATTGATAGAATGAGATCTTTTCTAGAAATGTCACCAGCAGTGATTTATAGAGGTGATTGGAAGGAGTCAGGGCTGGAGACTGGAGAAGTGATGCTTGCTGCAGGGTTGTAGATGAGGCAGTAACCAGGGAGATAAAGAGAAAGATTATTAATGTGGGCTCTGTCAAGGACAGACAGGAAGCAGGACTTTGTGTCTGCTTAGATTTGAGGAGTACGGGTGGGAGAAAGGGACTGATTCAGTAGGCTTTCTGGCTTCAGTGATGGGAAGTGGCAGAACAGAGCTAGGTTTGATTTGGAATGTGTTGGATTTAAGATGCCTGAGGAAAATCCAGGTGGAGATACATAGAAAGCAAGTGAATGTATGTGTTTGGGGCCCAAAAGAGACATCTGTATAGTTAACTGATTTGCAGGTAGATTTCTTGGATACTTTTATCATGCCCATTAGTTCTGCAAATGAGAGAAATTGAGGCTGCAAGAAAGAACCTGTTTGCAAGTTTTTAAATGATATAAGCTTTCCTCAGCTGATCCACATTCCTGTTGGAGTCAGGCTAGAATCTGGTTTTCCAAGACCCTGTCCACTATCTCCAGAGCCCGAACAACTGGCACAACTGGAAGCAGTTGGCCTTAGAAAGACTGCTCTGGTCTCTCACTTTGTTCTTCTGGGGAGTATATTTTTGTTGAATTCTCCTGAAACTCAGCAGGCAGTTCTGCCCAGAGGCTGATTTCTCTATGTTGTCTCCTGGCTTGCTCTGTGTGAACCCAAATCTGGGTCAACCCAGGCTGCTCAGAACTGAGCTTCTGAATTTGGCTTGTTTTGTTGTGATAGCAGTAGCTGCTAATCCTCACTGTCCCTTTCTCAATTAGTGGAAGGCCAAGGGTACATTTCTCTTCTCAGCAAGGGCCTTGGGCAGATGACTTCACTGGTCCTCAGTTTCCTCCTTTGAACAATGAAACAAGCAAAATCTTTTTCTAGCATTAGGAAACTCAAGATACATTTGAAAATGTTGTTCCAGAGCTCTTATGTATTGTTTTTAAATGTTACACATCTGGAAAAAGCATTGTTTTGCTCACTTTGGTATCAGAAAGAACATTGGCTGTAGCCACTCCATTCTGAGATTTCCTGAATGCTGGTTTGTCTTTCCGTGGGAAGCAAGAAAAAACAGTGATACTGGGTGGAATCCAATCAGACAGTGGCTGGCTGAGTGGTGAGTCCTGAGGTGGAGGGAAGTGCAAGAACAATGGCCAGTTATGGCTGAGAGTCTTAAGAGGGTGAAGATGAGCTCGGGAGTGTAGGTAGGAAGCTCTTACCAAGGCTGAGGCAATTCACCAGACAGCAGGGGCAGCAGGGGCAGCAGGACAGAAGCTGCTTCTAAGGCACTCTCCAATGCTGAAGGGATTATACAAAAGAGGGAAAATTTGGTATTATACCAAAGGACAAAGTCAGAAAATGCAACCAAAGGGAAGGAGATGGACAGAGAATGAGAAATTTAGAAAAAGAGCAGGTTTATTTTTATTTGGGAAATTCAAAATTAAAGCAGTTTAGATGAGCTTGCATTTTTAAAAATAGACAGCTAGTGCCAAAACCTGGCACACCACCATTGGAATCCCTATGCTCTGGCTCTTCTCAGTCAGAACACTGGGGTGATCTATGAACATCCACTACAGACAAAAGCTGGCAGCTCAGAGTTGCATGGGTGGCAGCTCATGTCCTCAGACCTGGCCACTGAGCCTGGGAAAGCTAACCTTTGTCTCTAGGGGTAGGGGTCTTTCCCTCAGGTAGGGATAAGGGGTACCAGTGAGAACAGCTAGCGTAAGCCCGGATTATCCTGATTCCCTGAGGTCCACCTCTTTCCACCATGGTGATGATTCTGAGTTACTGATGTCAGGAGCCAGGAGTCCCTAAGTAAGTTTTATACTTGAAGAGGAATGCATAAATTCATAATTTCACATGTCAAGACATACCCTTAATCAGCTTGTGTATGTCAGTTTTACTTTCAGGAAACGATCTTTTATTCTTTCAACAAGTATGTATTGAGTACATTCCTGAACTGTATAGTCCAATGGGCTCCTTCAAATAAGGGCACAGACTGGGGAGAGAGACTGGTGTCATCCTGGCACCTCTCCCTGTGAGAGGTGAACCTCACAGGCTGCTCTGTAGACTCACTTCATTTGCATGCCTTTGTGTTTTCAATTTTTGAGAGTTTTCTTTTCTCTTGGATTCCCAGTAATGTTTTTCTATTGTCTGAGGAAGAGAAGGAAATTATTTGATCTCTTTACCTAGGCCAGAGAGCAAAGGAAGGAACTGGGGGAGCCTTGACCCCCTGAAATTAGGTCTGTAAAGCCCTTGGCCAGTAGTGGGCACAAGATAAGGACTAATTAGTGGCAGCTGCTACAAGGAGTATTACCCATGCTAGAAGTAACAGTGTTAGTGTTGCTTAACCATTCTAAGGCGCAGACATCACTGTGCTCCAACAGAGTCTCTGCCTCCTTTCCTTTTGGACTCCTAGGTTCTGGTGCTGCTTGTTCCCTGATTGGTGACTCTCGCTATTTGCTGCCTGGTGTGCATCCTTGCATATGGGCCCTGCAGTTCCCAATTAGTAAAAGTACCTACTAATTCCCTGATGTCCTAAGGGAATTTAACAAGGTGGGATCAGGGAAAGGGGACAAAAAAAGCTTGGAAGATGAACTGAAGGGCCAATTTTACCCTTGAGAACATTATCTGTCCATGGCATCCGATATTGTGAATGCTCAGTCCATTCTGGGGTCTAGGCAAATCCTGTAGCAGGCTGCAACAGCCCTATGTTGGGTGCCCAAATCTGCTGTCAGCTGGTATAGGTCCTTACCTTTAGAAATAATGGAAATTAAAACTAAAACACACATTTATAGGAAAAGCTTTCATTAGAAAGTAAGAGAAAATGGTAAAGGACTTTAGCTTGAGGACCTGGCAAAGATCAGGTCGGCCCTTGACAAAGAAGGGTAAGAATGACAGGAAAGGACTGCAATTTGAACAGATGGAAGAGGCACAATCTGGTGAAGGGGCTAGGATTAGCTGGTGGGCTGGGGTCCAGTTGATCATTGTCTCAGTCCTGCTTTCTTAGTTCTGGAATCCTTGTGTCATGAAGGGCAGTTCTGATCCAAGGAAATGAGTGTCTCTGTGATGGTTTCACTCAAGTGGACCTCTGCTTTTTCCTGGAATCCAGGTGATCACAGTAGATGGTTAGAACAGTGGCTGGAGGCTTCTGGGTGTAGTTGGATATCCCTGTAAATGTCTTATCTTGGTGTCCTCTGTCCTTAGGGGGCTGACATCATATAAATTCAGGGCTAATCAACCTTGTTTTTCCAACTTTTAGACACTCTCTAAATAATCAACATATCCATTTGGAGGGCTGAGAAGGGATTTGACCCAAAAACTTATAGTAACACAGGATATAAAATAAAGGTCAAACTTAGTCCTGTTTTTAATTACCTATTGGGCATCTGTAGGCCCAAGTGAAGAGTCATGGCTTTTAGCAGAAATGGCTTTTAAGTCCCTGGCTGTCCTAGAAGAAAACAAACATCATGCTTTTAATGAGTAGCAGGTAAGGACCCAGGACACTTCCTGTCCCCCATCCATATGGTGGTCTCTGACTATGTCATGACTGTGTCAATAATGTAAGTGGAGCTCTATAGAAAGTTTCTATACCACCAAGGAAGCAGTGCCTCACACACTTCAGGAGCCAGAGGGAGTATAAAGATGCACCTGCTTCACTTATGTCATTGACCTTCTATCTAAAGCAGCTGCTGAAACTCAAAATATAAATGAAGAGCAAAATAAAAGATACATAATAGGAAGTAGGGAGATAGATCTTTCTCAAATGGGAAAGAACCAAGAGTTGGAGGGAGGGGAAAAGAAGGGGAGGAGAAGTGGATAAAAAAGGAATTAATATGTGTTATGTACATGTACCAAATCTCCACGAGGGATGTAATCATTATGTACTGCAGGCATTTACTAATGAAAAACAAAAATTGAGGAAAAAAGTAAAAATACAACTAATGTTTTGTATCTTGGAAAAAAAAAATAAAACTGCTGAAAGTATGACCCATGTGGAATCTGATGGCATAGTTTGGATTCCAGCTCTTTCATCCTGCTAACCTGGCCTTCTTGCAGGCTTTCCCAATCTCTCAGTGCTTCATTTTCTCATCTGAAAAGTGGCAGGAGTCAGACTGTGTGAGAATTAAAGATTTATCCTCAGGCACTTAGCATTGTACCTACCACATAAGACATCTCAGCAGGTGGCACATAGACTTACTGCCATCATTATCTGTGACCATGGGAACTCAGAGGCCCCAGTTATGCATAGAAGGAAGGGCTAGCTTTGTGGAATGTAACCAAATTCCATCATTGATGGATAGTAGAGAGAACAATAGATGTGTGATTCCCTTTAGAGTCTAGGTAAAGGGAATGTGGGTTTCCACTTTTATTATTCTTTAAACTTTTCTATGCATTTGACATATTCATAGTAAAAATATTGGGGTGAAGGAATTCCATCGGGCTGAAGATCTTCAGAGCTGATAAATCTGTAACAATATTAGTGAATCAAATTCAGTAGGATTAAAAACAACCTAGAAGAAGCCTATGTACTTTTGTGAAAAAGAGGTTATTGGCTACTCTGAGAAGAGTGCATGTACCTATGTCGATGTTAATGTTTCACTAGGCGAAACTGTGAAAAAGTGGGTTTAGGGGAAGGGAGAGGCTCAGTGACTAAGTACTTTTTATTTTTTTCTATGCTCTACTTCATTGCAAAAAGAACTTGTGGTAATGAAAAATACCTAGACTATAACAAGATAAAAATATACGAAAGACATAAATGGGCAATGGTTTATGCATATAGTACATGTCATAAGGTTCTGAACAAAAACTTTGAAAAATGAATGCAAAATTTGGCTCTGATGCTGGGAATAGTGTTATGTACCTGTAGTCCTAGCTACTCAGGAAGCTGAGGATCACTGGAATCCAGGAGTTTGAGGCCAGCCTGGGCATTGTAGTGAGTGTAGTGAGATCCTTTCCCTTGGTGATGGTGGTGGAGCTTATCTGTGATAACAAGAGCAAATAAGAGCACACAGAATTCCAGGTTCAAATTTTATTTGGTTGCTGATTTTTCTAGTCATCCAAAATGGCTAGGCCTCTCTTTTTCATTGCTGGTATTACTGTTCTGTCAGGCAAAGCACTCATGTAGAATAATTTAGACAAATAAACCAAGTAGTGGACTTTTAAGTTCCCAATAGAGGCTACCTGCATGTTGGATCCATGTCCCCACTACCCATGTCCTTTACTGTACCACCTTGTGTGCAGCACGGGGTGCCCAGGCATCTCCCATACCTTCCTTCACCCTCCTTCCAGCCACCACCCCCCGACTCACCCTCCACAGGCAGTGTTTTATAGTTATTCTTTTAAAGCACAAGTGCACTCATTTCAGCTATAGTGACTTTTTGTTTAAACAGATTCCTGAGCAGTCAAGACTCCATTCGCTTGTCTTTGTAGATGCCTATGTTGAAATCAATGCTTTTCAGAAAGGACAGTGTTTGTTTAGGATGTCAGGAAGTGTGTTCTTTGTCCTTAGCTGGTGATGTGATTTTTAGAAACATGGTAAAAAGGCTAACTACTGTTCTTATTCCCCCCTTCTCTCTTTCTTTTAAAATTACCTTGTTCATAGTATATATTCTTCCAACTTCCACGCAGTGAAGAGGGAATCAGATGGGGCTCCAGGGGATCTCGCTAGCTTGGAAAATGAGAGGCAGATTTATAAAAGTGTCTTGGAAGGTGGTGACATCCCTCTTCAGGGCCTGAGTGGGCTCAAGCGACCCTCCAGCTCAGCTTCCACTAAAGGTAATTAACAGAGTGAAGCCTAGCAAGCCTCTGTCTCCCACACACATCCAGGTCGGCAGTGGGCAAACTCCAGCACCTGGGACAAGCTCTGCCTTGTTCACCTCCACATCCAGGCCTTGGAGCCCTCTTGTGTCCTCCCCACCCATTTTCTCGCCGGCCATTTTTCTTTCTAGTGTTAATGGTTTCCCATCCTCTGAACCCCAACCTTGCTCTCCTTGAAGCATCCCTCTCTCTTTTGTTCTAATTCCCTTCTCTAGAAATTACCTGAGCTTCAGCCTTTCCTAACTGGCAGGGTGGCCATTTCTTTCGTTGCATCTTTGCACCTGCTTTGCAGCACAGATTATTTTGCTTCTGGACATCAACTGGAATTTTTTGAAAGCCCTATGACAAATGAGCATGTTACCTCTCCCTTTTAAAATTTTTATTTATTAGCAGCTTTCAGCTTTAACCTAATGGGTCTGTTTATTTTATTCTGCATGCTTACCAGTGGATCGTAAAGGTGGGAATGCTCACATGATTTCTTCATCTTCAGTTCATAGCCGAACATTTCACACTAGCAATGCATTAGGCCCTGGGTGTAAACACAAGAAGCCCCTGTCAGCTGCGAAAGCCTGCATTTCAGAGATCCTTCCTTCCAAATTCAAACCTAGGCTCTCTGCTCCCAGCGCTCTTTTACAGGAACAGAAGAGTGTCCTGTTGCCCTCAGAGAAGGCTCAGAGCTGTGAGAATCTTTGTGTTTCTGTTTCTCTGAATGATTCCAAAAGAAGCTTCCCCCTCCAGGTGGGGGGAAGCATTGAGAACTTGCTCATGCGCTCCCGGCAGGATTACAACAGCAAATCTAGCAGCACCATGAGCCTCCAGGAGTATAGCACCAGCGCCCGGAGGCCCTGCGCTCTCTCCAGGAAGGCTGGGTTGCAGTTTACCATGTTCTACCGGGACATGCACCAAATCAACAGAGCCGGCTTGTCCCTGGGATCCATCTCCTCCTCAAGTGTGCGGGATCTTGCCTCCCTCTTTGAAAGGAACAGCCTGGCATTGGCCAGGGGTGAGCTGGGGCCCAGCCAGGAGGGCTCAGATCACATCCCCAAGCATACTGTTTCTTCTCGAATCACTGCTTTTGAGCAGCTCATTCAGCGGTCCCGGTCCATGCCATCCCTGGACCTGTCTGGCAGGCTGAGCAAGTCCCCCACACCTGTGCTGCCCAGGAATGGACTGACCTCAGCCCGCTCAGCCGAGTCCCTCCTTGAGTCAACTAAGCTCCGTCCCAGGGAGATGGATGTGATGAGCACCAGTGGTGTCTATGCTGCCCCCACATGTAGCAATATAGCAGACCACACTTTGGGCTTCAGGGGCCTCATGCCTTCTGAGCCCCTCTCTACCTGCTCAGATGAGCTGGACCACTTATCAAACATCTCCAGTGATAGCAGAGAGGGCAGCAGCAGCAGTATTCATGGAGACTTCCCCAAACATCGTCTCAACAAGTGTAAAGGGACATGCCCTGCCTCTTATACCCGCTTTACCACCATCCGGAAGCATGAACAGCAGCAGTCCTCTAGGCAGCCAGACTGGCGCTTGGATTCCAGGGGGGACAAGAGCGCCCTCCTAAGGAACATCTACCTGATGAGCCCCCTCCCCTTTCGGTTGAAAAAGCCCCTCCAGCACCACCCCAGACAGCCTTCCCCTGCTGGTTCCTCAGGCTTCCTGGTGGGCCAGAGGCCAGACCTCCCCAGTCAGCCCCATCAGGACCAGGTGCCCTCTTCAGGGAAGCCCTTGGTTCCCACTCGCCTGTCTTCCTGGCACACCATGGCCAGGCTTAGCCGCAGCTCAGAACCCCCTAAGGAAAGACCTGTGGTCCTGGAGGACTGCTCAAGGGCCATTAATAATGGGGACTCTGTGCCATACTCAGACCACGGCCTGGACAGAAACAACAACCCTCAAAGTAAACTGGCACCATCCCTTCGAGGTGGCATTTTGTGTGTTTATCAGTCTCACCTCCCCCGTCTTTACTTTGCTTGCTTTGTCTCTTCCTCCTCTGTGCCTTTGGTACTCATTTTCTGCTCTGTCCTTTGTTTACTTGTTTGTTTTGCTTGGCAATTAACCATGGCTCATAGTGGCTGCGCTTCTTTAAAAACAAAGCCCCATGTCATTTAGACTAACCACCAAACTGTGTTTCGAAAGAAAAATTGGCCATTTAGCTCATCTAAGAAATGTGTTCATTTGAACTCTCAAACCCCTTGTTGTTTGCGCCAGTCCCTGACCTACCTGTGGTTTTTTGAGAGGCAGCCTTTCTCTGTGGCCCTGTGTGTGTGAGTGTACAGTTTGTCCCTAAAAAACCTGCACGTCTCTTTGTAGGGACATTTAAAGAATGTCCTCTCCTTTTGCCTTTTGATGAGTTTCTTTGTGTTTAACTAGTTTGCAAGTAACTCCAAAACTCAGGGTGGGAGGGTGGATTGAATTTTTTTCTTCAGAATTTGATTATTGATCATTGATCAGCAACAACTATAAATGTTTGATATTTATACCAGAAGAAAGGTGAAATCTTTTTCTAACCTGGTTTTCCACTAAACCTTTGTCTGCTTTAACTCTACTCTGTTGTTTTGAAGATTCAGAATCACCAAGACATTTTATACCAGCTGATTACATGGAATCCACAGAAGAATTTATTCGAAGACGTCATGATGATAAAGAGGTAAATTTCATCATTTAAATCTCTTAGCTCTTATGCAGAAAACGAGCATAAAGAAAGTAAACATTCTAGACACCAGTCAGAGAAGTAACAAAGCCCAGTGATTGGAAGTAAAGATTGAGGTTTTCATGGTGACTTTTTATAGGACATAGGCTCTGTCATTTCTCCTTTAATTTACTTTTTTAAAAAAATGAGACTGATTTCCTCACAGGTTCTCAGTTACAAATGCCCAGCCAGCACTGCTGCAAAGGAGATATAAAAAGAGATAGTCACTACTGCACTTAATGCCTCATAAGCTGGGAGCTAAAGTTCACCCATTCATTCCTTCTCCCACCTCTCTCCCCAGTGTTCTGTAAAGTAATTTACCCACTCTATCTCCATTCCTGTCCACCCTTCTATTGGCACAAAGCATAATTCAAATTGGGAAGGATGCAGTAGGAAAAAGAGAAAAGTGACAAATAATAATGACCATGATACATTTTATAAAACAATTTGAGGAAATTGCCTATAACTGTTACTTTAATTAGAAATGGAGATGTCCCCATAAGTTCTGGTAAGTCCCAGTTAAAAACTGCAGAATCTGGGTATATACTTGTAGCTACTGAAATGTCTGTTCAGTGGTGTGACTGACAAGTCTAGAAAAGTGTCTGTTCTCCCACGGATCTACACATCAGCCATTGAATGGGCAAGATCACAAGCCTCTGCTATGATAAAGTCTCATGAAGCATATTTTCTTGGCTTCATTTTCCCAGGTAAAGGGGTCTTGTCCATTAAACAAGCTCATTGCCTGTTTTCCTGTAAGGAGAAACTATTTTGAGTTAAAAGATGGAAGAATTGTTTGGAAATGATGGCAGTTCATATTCACAACTTGGTCCCAACCTCTTTTTCTGTCTTGACTCATTCCAGAGTTTAGGTGGAATTTCCTTAAGGATTTAGGATAATGTTGACCTTGAGGAAAACTATATGATTATAATCATTGCTGCCAGATAGACAAAAGACAAAAAGAAATGAGTAGACTCCTAGTCTCCAAGCACAAACACTACTCACTGCACTTCTCCGTGGAAAGAAGCAAGAGGAAGTATTTGATATACAAAGTTTTTTCTAATAAGGAAATACAAAACTCACTAATAATTGTTCACTAGGACACAGAATAGATTCATTTCTATAGCTATTTCTTAAATATTTCCTATCACCAAGATACAAGATACCTATGTATGTAGGTCTAAGCTGCCATGATAAAGAAGATGAAATTCAATTTTAGTAGTAAAATCCTAGTATTTAACGTGGAAGGTATTGTGGTAGAATTCTTACCTATATGGGGGCATATTTTACTTGATTTAACAGTTGACATATTAGAAGTTGCACACAGAATGTGAGCAACTTGGTTCCTGAATGATGCCAGCTCGTAAATCCTAAAATTGTTGGTGTCTCTACTTACGTTTTTTGGCTTATGTGGTTAAACTGAAGGCCTGATGGATTTAATGAGGTCAGATTTAAGCAGTAGGTTGTGAACTTACTCCTTTTGATGTTGGCTTCCACTGATGTTGCTTAACCTTGGCCAAAGCACTGAAGGTTTTTAGCAAGGACATGTGGCAGCCTCAAGCTCAAGTCCATTCCTACTGCTACAGGAAGGACTCACTTCCCAGCTGAGGGGGTGTCAGTCTGAACTTTTTATGCAAAGTCTTTTTATTAACGCTAATTATAATAGCTTTTCAGAAAATGAGAACATGTCAGTCCCAGAAGGATCATTAGTGGTAATCTAGCCAACTCCTTTGTTTTACCCAGGAAAGGACCATAGCAAAGTAGTGGCTTGACCAAGGCCACCTAGCAAGTTAACTTATACCAGAGGCAGAACTAGGAATCAAGGTTCCAAGTTTCTGGGTGCCGTGCTTTGCAAAGCACTGTTTTTTTCTTTTTACATTTAATCTTTTTTGTTTTTGTTTTTGTTTTTGTTTTGATTTTTAAGACAAGGTCTCTATGTACTCCAGGCTGGGCTGGAATTTGCAGTGATCCTCCTACATCAGCCTCTCTCAAGTGCTGGAATTATAGGCATGTGCCACACCAGACTCTCATTTAATCTTTACATTTTACTGTGCCCTAGAAATCTCATAGCCTCTGATAAGTTATTTGTAGACCCTGGAGAAAAATTGGAACCACTAACCCTTGGGGCTAGATATCACATGAGACACTTAATTGCCTGCTGGAAAAAGACTAATGTTTTTGAACATACTAAGAATTTTAAATTCTAGTTAGTGCTTTTCTATAAGGAACTTTAATCCTAGGAATATAAGACTACTATGGTAAAAGGAAACACATTAAAATATTCTGTAGGCCATTTCAATAGGCATTGAGGGCATTTGATAAGAAGCAGCATTATTTGATTATTTCAAAAGGCCTTTCAAAATAGAAATACACTTGATCTTAGCCAAAAGGCTGAGAAGCAATTCAAAATAGAAATAGGTAACTATTTTATTAATGCATTCTAGATAGCATTATTCTTAGTTTATATTCTACACCATTCCCTAAACTCAACTTCATTTTGCCTAATGGAGAATAGTTCAATAAGACAGTAAGGTTCTCTGTCAGCCATGTATGTAGCCTTTTGTGCATTTCCTAAGGCCTCCCAAAAAATTGTGCCTAGGGGGAAGGCTGGCTGGCCAAAGAGAAAGGATACTTTAGCTTCTAAATAAGCAGCTCCACTCTGAAGAATCTATTAGAGTAATAGACAGGGGAAGCACAAAAATGACCTGGTTGTCAGATAAGTGAAATACCATAGCTGACTGCATAGGTGTGATGTGGGCAGGAGGAATCAGTCAGACCTGCTCCTGCCCTGAACTACACTTTGGGGATATATGGCTGCCTGAGGGGGGAGGGATGGCATACCCTCCTGGTGCCTGCCCAGCATGCTGTAGTGCCCTGGCTGTGCCCTTGGGTGACCTGACCTTGTTTCCTGGGTTTCTTTTGGACAGTCCTCTCTCCTTCCTAGAGTGTGCAGGATGGTTATGATGGGAGCACAGAAGTTGTAGGCAGAAGACTCTGACATCTGACCCTGAAAGTCTCCTACCTGTTCACCCAGCACCTTCTTCCTTAGTTACTTTTGTTGGCAGCTTTCAAATACTCTAGACCCAATAATTCACTGCCCATTTTATGCAATTTCATGGCAGAAACTTTTAGCGGACCAGAGACGACTTAAGCGCGAGCAAGAAGAGGCCGACATTGCAGCTCGACGCCATACGGGCGTCATTCCGACGCACCATCAGTTTATCACTAATGAGCGCTTTGGGGACCTCCTCAATATAGACGATACTGCAAAAAGGAAATCTGGGTCAGAGGTCTGTTTTGGTCGCCTCAAACTGCTGCTTGACCCAAAGCAATATTTGTCTCCCTTCAGCATTGCCCTCTGTAGGCCAATTTAGTTCTCCAAACAGCACCTGTCATCTTGGCTTCCCTTAGCCTTGCTTCGGCTGGTGAATGGACACAAGCCCCATTATGTCCTGTGCTCTGTATGTTCAAGCATGCCTGGCTGTGGGACCGGGATCTGCTGGCGCACACCCCTCATGCATGCTTAGAGTGTGTCAGCTGCCTCCATGAGTCCAGTCTCTCCATCCTGCATTTATCATGATACTGTGTTGCCTGTGCCTTCTCTTAGAAACCATATACTTTAGGTTGTATGCATTGATAGTTATGGTGTGGACAATTATAAGATTATTTTTATAGAGATGATTAATGAAACATTATAAAAGTTACCTACTGATACTGATGCCATTTACAAGGACCTCACAATTTAATTACATTACTATTGAAATGTCAGAGAATAATACTGCTGTATATGTGTGGATGGATTGTGTGAATTGCTCAATAATACAGCTGCACTTTACTGAGGAATTTTGAAAACCAAAAACTTACACTGAGTATTAACCCATGGAGAATAAGACAGCTCTCTGAGAGACATTTCATTTGTTCCTTTAGTGTTGACATTTCTAAGCTTAGTTTACAAAAACTTATTATTATAAATGAAAGAAGAAAAATGAAATCTTGAAATGATTTTTACCCAGGTCTTGGCCTCCTGCACCAAGGCCAATATGTTGGAATTCTTGTGCTGGTCAAATGCTACGTTTTGCAGAAGAGTTTATGCTTTGCTATGTAACCTTTAAGTAGCCTGTTGCCGCTGGTCTCAGGTTGGGGAAGCATATGTGTCTGGGACTTGGGCTGGGGTTAGAGGATGAGGGAGTGACACCCACAATATGTAGTTTTACTGTATAATTTTTCAATATGGTAGATTAATATTCATGTTTCTATAATTTGAGTGACAGAGATGTCACTGCCTCATTTTTTTTCTAAAGAAATAGAAGGTATTTGGAAAAGGAGATAAGGAAAGGAAGCTGGGAAGGGGAGATCCTAAAGTGAAGAAAAAGAAAGTGTTACAGGAAGAAGCAAAATTTAACTTCTTCAACTGCCAGCTCCTCAGCCCTCAGCGTTGCAGCTGCCCTCTCAAAACGGCTCTGTTCTGAAGGCTGTGGTGCTGGATCATCTTCATTTCCCTGCTAGCTGCCTGTGAAAGAAGAAGGAGATGACAATGTGCAAAGGCACTCTAGGGATAAATGTGAATGAAAATGCAGTGCACGTGAGATAGCCGTGGACAGAGGCAGGTGTTCTCCCTGAGGAGCCCTGCCTCCCTCATAGAGCAGCAGTTCCCACATTTGATTGCTTATTAGGACCTCCTGGAGGCTTGTTTTAAAAAAATCCTGAGCCCCATTTGCAAGGTTTCTGATTCTGGAGTGGGCCCTAGAATTCGCAGGTTTCTACATGATGTTGATGCCAGTATAGGGACCACATTTTGAGAATATCTGCCCTAGAAATTGACTGATAGACTTGAGAAAGTAGAGATCAACAAGTACCAGATGGACAAGGCAGTGTAGATGTACTGCATTCTTGTTCATTAGAACTGGACTGGCCACTAATTTTGTGTGAGACTCCATGGCAAACAGAATCAGGACTATCTGTGCTGTTGGTAAACTGTTGGTGGAAGGATCTTCATCATCATCATCATCATCATCATCATCATTATTATTTCATTATTAACCTAAGTCAATTTACAAATTAAATACATAACTGTACAGTTTTATTAATTTAGTTGATAGGTGATATTGTGAGCAATGGGGATGTGGATGGGAGGTGGGCAGGTCTGGCTTAATGATAAACTTGTTGAGAACGTGGAGATGTGACAGAGGCTGACCTCCAGGCCTGGGTGTCTGGGAGGACCAGGTTACCCCAGTAGGAGTGGAGTCTTAGCCTGGATGAGCTCATAGATCGTAAGAAATACACAGAGTTAAATATGACATAAGAGATGTATCAGTTTCATCTACTTGCAGATCATAATTCAATTCAGACAAATAGCTAATCCCCTAAGGAATGAGAGAGTAGGTAAGGAACATCTTAGGTCTTCTGGCTGACTGGTTTTTTAATAGCCATAGTCATGTTTTACGGAACTAACACTTCTTTCAGACATAAATCCTGGCCCTCTTTAGGTGAATTCTTGTCCTTGACTCACTGACTAAACATCCATCTAGTGATGTGCGAAGGTTAGACCTGGAATTCTTGCCAGATTTCTGTATCAGAATGAACTTGTTATTGTGAAGTTTTCTGCTTTGCTTTTTAGAAACTTGTGAAAATGCATTCTTTTTATTGTTCATGAATCACGATTTTAATTTGTCATTGTTTCTTGTGTTTAGATGAGACCTGCCAGAGCCAAGTTTGACTTTAAAGCTCAGACACTAAAGTAAGTGCCACCAGTCAAATTTATTTGTCTTCTTAGCTACCCTTTTGAAATACAGCATTGCTCTTATAAAATAAAGTTGGAGAAATAACAACTAGGGTTAAAAATAGACAGTAGTTTATGTGCAGGTACTAAAGTATGTTGCATATGGTAACTGATTTATCCCTTATGAATCAGGACTGAATCTTATGAAGTAGGTGTGGTTATTATCCTCATTAAATAAATGAGGAAACTGAGGGACTTCAACATGAAGGAACTTGGACCAGCAAAATTAACCAGGTTTTTCTTTCCTTGGGACTTCTCAGAGCTTGTGCTGTTCTCATGTATACTGTGACATTGCAGAAAAGATCTGAAGTGTATCATGCTGTTGTTTCCCAAGTCTTCTTACAACCAGACCTGGTCATACTGTTCTCTGGGACCTGGGGTGTGTTCCACAGTGTGGGAAAGATGGAAGCCCCAGAGACACTGTGGTATGTTTCCAGTGGCTACAACTGCAGATGTCTCCAGGTTCCTTCCTCTAGTATGAGTTGTCCTCCTACTCAGGGCAGCAGACTTAGAAGCCTGTGCATCTCCAGCAGGGATGGATATACTGAGAGTCTTGCTCCTCTTTGTGCCCATAGTTGGAGATAAAAAGAGAGGAAAGTCAGAACATCCCAAGGAGGGGTATGGTAAAAATGTGACTGGAGACATTCCTTCTCACAGGGACAAATGCCACAGATCCTCTTCACTCCCCTTTTCAGATTAGAATCCTGTTTCTAATACAAGACCCACAAAAGCTTCCTTGTGCTTTTATTTAGCACAGGGTCAACTGCGTAAAGTTCTCCAGATGTACTCTATTGTTTAGCCAGCATTCCTCATGTACCCTGGAACTTCCTGGAGTACTGCAAAGAGGTCACACCCCTTTCAAAGTACACTCAGAGACCTTTCCTCCTGTGTTGTTGCTTCGATACATATGAAAACTATGTCATTTTTTGAAATTGAAGAAATTTCAAGTTACAATTTTTATTCTCTTAAGTTTTTATTTTGTTTATAATTTGTCTATTTGTCTCATTTTGTGGGGGGATAAGACAGGGTCTTCCTTCCTATGTCATTCAGGCTGGCCTTACACTGACAGTGTAGCTCAGGTTGGTCTAGAACACACAGCAGTCCTCCTACCTCAGCCTCCCGAGTGCTGGGATTACAGGCATGTGCCACTACACCCAGCTTGAAGGTAATTTAAAACAATTCAGACATGTCTTGATGGACAGCGAAAAATTAGAGGGATCTAAAAGAAGAAGACATTTTTTTCTTTATTTAATAAACATCAATTAAGATGGTTGGGTGCATTGCCATGTAATTTGTCAATATTCTATGCATTAGGTCAGCATTCACAAAAAATGCACCGAGAAAGACACAACAAACTAATAAGGCCCCTGAGCACTTTCAAGTGCTAATCAGTTTGTATCTTAACACTCCTCCTGCAAAGGTCTGGAAAAAATGAAGTGTGATTTAATTTCCTGAATAGTGAATGTTTTTTCCAAATATGGAGCTGCCTCTTCTGTAACTTGTCCCCTTTGGCCTTGCTTGAAGTCTCTTTTTGCTAACAAACTTAAGTGCCTTAGTCTTGCATATATTGAAGCTTCTGCTAAAATGTTGTGACCCTCTGTCAACAGGGAGCTTCCTCTGCAGAAAGGAGACATTGTTTACATTTATAAGCAGATTGATCAGAACTGGTACGAAGGAGAGCACCATGGCCGAGTGGGAATCTTCCCATGTACCTACATCGAGGTACTGCAGCCTCTTGCCATTGTGAGGAAAAGCCTAGTCATGCCCAAAGCACCATTATTTAACAAGTACTTGTGTTTTACTCCCTTCTTTTCCTCTTTCTCTGCTTTCTCTTTTGTCTCTTTTCCTTTCTCAGCTTCTTCCTCCTGCTGAGAAGGCTCAGCCCAAAAAGTTGCCACCTGTGCAGGTTTTGGAATATGGAGAAGCTATTGCTAAGTTTAACTTTAATGGTGATACACAAGTAGAAATGTCCTTCAGAAAGGTAAGCAACCTTCTCATCCTGTGCTTTGAGGCTCTTTTGGATGGTGCCATTAATGTGAGAAATGTGACCTTGCCATTGCCTGCCAGCCTGTACCCTTTAGAGATATACACCAATGAAAACTTGCAGTAAGGGCAATTGGAGAATTTTCTGAGGTCAGATATTTTGAAAATAAACTCTAGGCTAAGTCAAGGTTTAACTACATTGAGTTCACTGATTTAAGGCGGTATTTCTGGAATCTTAGACAGCTTTTATAAACTACCCCACCAACATTTAATAAGCACTTACTGCTGTGATGAGCACTGTGTTGCTTTACAGCAAGTCAGTGGGCCTAGTGGCAAAAGCAAGTCCATTGATATCAGGAGGAATTTGAAAATCTTTGAATTCAAAACTTACAGGTTATTTACCTTTGTACCATGTGGGGAGTTAAACACTTTGTCTGAGCTCTCATTGCCACATATATAAAAATGAAGATAAATGATTCTCTCACAGGATGGTTGTAAAAGGCCTAATGAAGAAACGTGAAATGGCTGGCTTGGCACACCGAACCTGGTTGGTGTTCAGTAAACAAGAGATTCCAGTATTATCACCATCATTATTTTGCCTTGGAGGAGCTCAGCTTGTTGATTGTGAACACACACTGTGCAAAGAACTCTTCTTCCTAGGGATTCTAAAGCTCTCTACATGTCACAGTTCTCTGGAAGCAACTTAATTGCCCAGCAGCAGGGGATCAGTAATTAAATTATTTATGTGTGTAGAATTCCTTGCATTGGTCCATTAAGCTATACAACATTGTTAAAAATTTAGAATTGTGTTTCTTGATAAAGAAGGAAGTTCAGTATATATTGTCAGCCTAAAGCAAAACAGGAAAAGGGAATTACAGTTCCTATTCAATTTGCATAGGAAAAATATGGACAAGTTTAATTCATATGCATAGAGCTACATGTGGAAAGTACATAATATGTTGCAATACCAACAGTGGTTTTCTCCATGTGATGATTATTTTCTGCTTTATGTTTACTTATCTTCTAACTTTTCTGTAATAATACATTAAAAATAAAGTATAAAAAGGAAGAGGGAGGAAGTCTTTGCCTTACAGGTGAAGATTGGATATCTGTTTTTGCCTTAAATGAGTCAATACCATTACATTTACCTTCCACATTGGCAGCATGAATTTGATCTTCTTCTTGTTACTGAAATACTTGAAGATTCCCTGTGACATTAATTACATCCAGGCCCAGAAGGGCAGATTTCTCCTGAGCAAAGGATGTGATAAATGATGCAGGACAGTCCAGGTGCAGGCAGGGGCCTCAGGTTTGTGAGGACATGGACAATGGAACATGGAACATGGGAACATGGAACATGGGACAAGGACTCTTGCTGTGTCTTTCAGGGTGAAAGAATCACATTACTTCGACAGGTGGATGAGAACTGGTATGAAGGGAGGATTCCAGGAACATCTCGACAAGGCATCTTCCCCATTACCTATGTGGATGTGCTCAAACGGCCACTGGTGAAAAACCCCGTGGATTACATTGATCTGCCTTACTCCTCTTCTCCAAGTCAGAGTGCCACTGCAAGTCCTCAGGTATCTAAGCTTATCATCACTGGTTTCCATACTAAAACATATGCTCAGCAGTGCCAATGGTACACAGGCCCTCTGGGGTGGTTCTGGAGCACTGTGTTTATGAACTTCCTGTAGCAATGCAGACTGTACACTAGAGTTTGTCTTTGTGTGTATACGTGGCATTTTTCCAGCACTTGGTAGGAGAAACATCTCAGGGGAAAATAAAGAACTTAAGGTAATTGCCCTGGGGATAAGGTGAGTAAAGAAAGAGAAACAAGAGCCTTTATTAGTTGGTTACTGGTGTTAGTGATAAAAGTTGGTGGTATAAATGCCATTACTATATCATAAATCCTACAGCTCAGGATAGGTCTCTGCCATGTTGTCAGTCAAGATTGGCTTGCACAAAACAACAGTGGAAAGAGAATATTATGGTTTCATCCTCAGAATTGTAGACCACATCCAAAGTATTTGTGTAAGCATTCACTTGAACTAGGTTGGAAAAGATACTTATAAGGTGTGATAAAAAATACAGTGAATATTTAATTTAAAAATTTTATTATAGTAAATGACACATTGCAATTAATCTCTCTCAAAATATTCCCTTCATTTTGAACATGCTGATTCAATCATTCTTGCCACTTTTTGAAACAGTTCTAGAAGTCCTTTTTCCTGAGTGTCTTTAGCTGCAGTGTCATGATGACCTTGATGTCCAGAATTGATTAAAAATATTTACCTTTCATGATCATTTTCATTTTGAGGAAGAACCAGAAGTTCCATGGTGGAGAAGCCAATGAATAAGGCAGATGAGGACACACTGTAATGTTTTTATGAACCTGCCTTTTCCTTGGATGGCACTCCACGACAGTATTCACCATATTTTTAATCATACCTCATAAATACATGAAGGAGGACTTCTAGAACTGCAGAATGTGGCAAAGGCATAAGTCTGTTTGAAGCGAGGGGGAATATTGTGAGAGGGATTAATGGCAATGTGTCTTTTACTGAAATAAAATTTTAAATATTTATGATATTTTTCAATCACCCCTCATAAGTCTATTCTAAGCTGTTTTTATAGGCATAGAAAGCTGTTTGTTTTTCTGGACATTAATTATGGAGAAACTTGTTTTAAAATGTGAGTTCTTGCAAGCCCATGCCCACCTTCCCAAAGCCGTGAAAAAATTTGAACTTTAAGTTCAGGAGAGGTACAGTTGGGGTGCCTTGCAAGTTGTAGGGAGTATGGACAGAGGACCCAGGGACCCAAGGTTAACACTGAAATGGTACGTTTTTTACTCTTATCCTTTAATTATTTCCTCCTCTCCCACCTGTTTATCACTGACCCCAGTAGAGGGCTGTTGACATAAAGCATTCGACAAGCTTCCTGCACAGTGAGACCTATGTCCTGCTATCAGGGCGAATGCACAGCAGGACATCTGCTTTGAAATAATGCAGACAACTCAACTGGGGTTTTCATGTGACTATAGCCAAGGGTGATTGTAAAACAAAATGGTCACAATACCCATGCTTCTTTCTGGAAGCCTCTGCTGAGCTCTGTAGAAAGAATAAAAAAACCCAAGAAAGAGCCAGAAGAGTGGTGGGTCCCTTTTCCCCCTAGTTCTTGTTCAGGACTCCAGTTGTGGGGATGAAGGTGGGCTAGGGTGGGGCCTCCCAGTGTGTCCTTTTAAAATCTGATTCTACAAAGCAGGCTGGCATCATTTGTCACTGTCTGATGGGAATCTGTCCCATCTCCATGCCACTTGCCTCTCCTGCTGCTCCCTGCATGCATGTCCTAGCGTGTGCATGCACACACACACACACGGATGCACTCACATCCCAGTTTCTTTCCAGACCTCAGCAGATGATTTCCCTTTTGGACACCAGAGTGTCCTGGTCATCCTCTCCTTTTCGTTCCTCTTTGTTCCTCCTGTGATTATTTTCTTCCTTTTTCCTTTATGCTGACACTTGTTCCTTTTACTTCTTTCTTTTGTTTTCTTCCTCTTCTTTTCTTTTTAAGTGCCCCCGTTACAGCAAGATCATCATGCCAGCCCCCTCATCTCTGCCCCATCCCCGTAGAGCTCTGTCCCCTGAGATGCACGCTGTCACCTCCGAGTGGATCTCGCTGACTGTAGGAGTTCCAGGCAGGCGATCTCTGGCCCTCACTCCACCCTTGCCTCCTCTGCCCGAGGCATCTATCTATGACACTGACTCCCTCATCTTGTCAACGAGGGCCTGTCCCTCCCTGCCAGTCAGCCTCCCTCATTGGAGTTGCTCAAATCACTCTACTCCACACTCAGTGGTTTCCCCACTGGCCCTGCCTGCTCCTCAGAAAGCCTACTCACTGGCCCCCAGCTCACAGGCCCCTCTTCATGTCAACAGAAATGGTGGCATCCACATGCCATCTTCAGGCATCCACCAAGACAGCTACTCCCAGCTGCTATTTGGGAGCTCTGATAGGGTCATCTCAGAGCTTAGCGGTGCCTTTAGCAGCCAGAGCAAACTACAGCCCTGGCTAGAAGAGAATGGACAATATGAGAGAAAAGCAGAGAGTGAGGCAGGTGAGAGATGCCCTGGTGGACCCAAGATCTCTAAGAAGAGCTGCTTGAAGCCTTCAGATGTGGTCAGGTGCCTGAGTACTGAACAGAGACTCTCAGAGCTCCACACTCCTGAGGAGAGCCGGCCCAGCAAGCCTCTGGGCAGCACTTTTCCAGGAAGGGAGGCGGGGCAGACAGAGCTGCATAGAGGTGGCGAGGCTGAGAGGAGAGCTGCTCAGAGTGGTACGAGCCAGGTAGGCCTGCAGCATGACTGGGGTGCACTTGGCATCTCACTTGGCAGGGTGGGCTGGATGTTTTGCCCCTGGTCTGTCAATCAAGGCCAAGTGGATGCCTGTGAGACCTGTTTGCTTGCATTGGGAGCAAAGAGATATCTGAGGAGGGGAATGGAAGGGACATGGATTAAAGTGTTAGGACTGGGGAAAGTTGGAGGAAAAGGTCAGGCTATGTTCTGGCACATTGAGGTGATTCAGAAGTATCCTCCATTGACTGCTCCTAGCCTGGTACAAAAGCCCATGGAAAGGAAGGCTTCCCTTTTGTCTATTCATGCTTTAAAAATTGTCTGGTTTGCTTGAACTAACATGGCTTTGAACACCAGGCTTTGGTGTGAGGTGGTGTGGTGTGGTTTTCTGTGATGTGCACTTTGTTTTCAGTAACTCATGGTGTGCTGCTAGTGTTCAGTGATGTCAATCAGGTCTTTGTCCTGTCTTGTGTTTGTGTGGGAGCACAGGCCCTTGTTCACAATGAACAGAGGTATTTGGTTCTTTGGAGGAACATGCCCAGCTTCCTGACAGGCTTGGGGTTACTGAGTGGACATGCCAGGTTTTTGAGTGACTGACCCATCTTTCTAAATCAGCTATAATAATTTTAGGGTTTGGATGAAAGCAGCTTTAGGGTATTTTGAGGGCAGAAAATTTTTAAGGGAAAATGAACTTGGCAGCTGGACAGACCATATTTCTAATTTTGGCTGTGTTGTTTCTACCTAGAAAGTTAAAGACTTTGAGCACCTTTTCTAAAGTAGGCAGATTTGAGGACCAGATTATTTACTAAGTGATGATGGGAATTATTTACCTTCTCTGGGACTTGGTTTCTTAATCCATAAAATGAATATAACATCTACCTTACAGAATAGTTGAGAAGATTTCTAGAAATAATGCATGTGAGGGCGAAGCACAAGGCTGGAAACATGAGTGACACTTTGTAAAGCAAAGCTATAGAGCTGCTATATTAGTCACCTTTCTGTTGCTGAGACCAGGATGTCTGGTGCCATGACAGAAAACAACTTTTTTTTTCTAAGTTCTTTTATTGGTACATTTTAAGTATACAATTCGTTTACATTTATCATTGGGTGCTGGTACCTGTACATGATATATCTTGGTTCTTATTTTTTTCCCCATTACCTGTGCACCCTTCCCTATTTACACAGACATCAGTGCCATTTTTTTTTTCTCATAGATTTTCCTTTCCCTCTTTTCCTTTCCCCTTCCCCTCCCTTCACCCCTTCGTCTTTGGACCTTTTTTCCTATTTTGAATTATCAGTTATTCATTTTAATCCTTTTAACCCTTGTTTACACTATCAGTTTCTCACACTAGTGAAACTTCAGTATTTACACATGTGTGTGCTATTTATTTCACTTAAGAATATGGCCTCGATATGCATCCATTCAGCTATAAATGACTCTAGTCTGACAGAAAACAACTTTAAAAGAGAAAATGTTTCCTTGGCCTCACAGTTTCAGAGGTTTCAGTACATGGTTATCTGGCTCCAAGGTCAAAGTGCTTGGCATCATGGGAGAGGAAAGCTGCTCAGCTCGTGGTAGCCAGAAACAGAAAAAGAGTGGAAGAGGTGGGCCGGGGACCATATAACCATTTAGCTCAATGGTTCTGGCGCCTGCCTCGCAAGCACAAGGTCCCGAGTTTGATCCCTGGTACCAAAAAAAAGAGTGGAAGAGAGTCAAAGGAAGATACTAGGGACCAGACAGTCCCCACCGTCATGCCCCCAGTAGCCATCCAGACAAACCTAGAAGTATGCTTTACTTACCTCCTATGCATGTCAAACCCAATCAAATTGACAGTCGAGATTCACCATCACTGCAACCATCTTGGAGGATCTAGAATTGCTTCTAGAACTGAGGATACTCTGTAATCTCTTTAGAACCAGGTGGATTCATTGAGATGTCTCTAAAACCATTTATTTAGTAGCTATTGTATTTGCTGCCCATAGTAAACTCTGCTCAAACCTCAGACTTACAACCTAGTTTCCCTGTGAAGTTTTATTTATTCAGTCTATGAGCATTAATTCAAGACCTGCTGATATCAGCCTGTGGGAAGTCCAGAAGTCACTGATCCAGGCAGATACAGCAGTGTCACCAGGACAGTGACAGGAACACAGAGGCCAGAGACATACAGTAATATCTTGGTTCATGAACACTTCTGTTCTCAAAAGCATTCAGCAAAAGTTTGCTTCCATTTGCA